ATATATTTGATTGATTCTTGAGGTTGATTGTTGATCTGAGATCTGTATGTTATCAATTTTGTTCTTCAATTCGTGAATTGATAACACTTGTGAATATCTTGTCATTTGCTTGTTGTTGGAGTTCATATTGAATTCATACGTTTCTGGAGATTCTTGGCTTCTCTGCAAATTAAGGTTTAATTGAGACGTTGCTTTGCATAATTTTTTGGTTTGATAATGCCTGAGATAGAACAATCTTCTATGGATCCTACTGCGGTTCCTGGTAGTGTCTATTATATCCATCCTTCCGATGCTTCGAACAAAACTCTTGTTTCTGATGTGTTTGATGGAACTGGATTTGGTGATTGGAAGAGGTCCATTTTGTTGAGTTTGTCATCTAGAAATAAACTAGGTTTCATAGATGGTTCTGTGGAACAACCTCCAGTTACTGACTCAAACTATAAGGCTTGGTGTAGATGCAATGACTTGGTGTTAGGATGGTTGTTATTTGCTCTAGAAAAGAGCATTGCTAAGAGTGTTTGGTATTGCAAGACAGCCAAGACTCTTTGGGATGATCTTGAAGAGAGGTTTGGGCATACTTCTGCTACTCAGCAGTATGCCTTATACCAGCAGTTGTCTGAACTTTAATAAGGATCTAATGAGTCTGTATCAGTGTTCTTTACCAAAATCAAGTCGATTTGGGATGAGATGGATAGCAATGAGCCTTTGCCTATTTGTGCTTGTGCTGCTTGTACTTGCTTGCTTACTAAGAAAATTCTCAAGATTCAGCAGGATCAGAGATTAATGATGTTTCTTATGAAACTTAATGAGAAGTATGCTATGGTCAGGACTAACATTTTGATGATGCAGCCCTACCTACAATTTCCATTGCTTATCGTCTGTGTATGCAAGAGGAGAAACATAAGGAAATGAGTATTGGTTCTTATGGTTCTGAGTCTATGGCTTTTGCAGCTGGGAGAAGATTTAATGATAGGTCTTTTGATAAGTCTTTCAAACATCCTTCTGGTGTTTTTTCTCATTCTGATGGAAATTATAACAGTAATAATAATAGTGCTGGAAATCATAATGCTGGTTCTTACAGATCTCAAGGTCTGTACAACAGGTTGGGAACAAGAAACAGTGATTTTGTGATCACTGCAAAATGCCAGGACATGGAATTGAGAGATGTTTTAAGTTGAGAGGATATCCTCCTGGATGGAATGTATGGAGTAACAGCAATAGTTCTGGTTCTTTTATTCAAGGTAATAACAAAAGGGTTGCATATCTTGCTCAGGGTGGTGAAATTGATTCTGATCAGCAACTTGTTACTGATGATGAAGTAATGACACCTCAAATGGCTGTGGCTCAATGCAACAAGATCATGAACATGTTAGTGAAGCAACATCATATACAGGATCCTATTTCTGATAAAAGAGAGAGCTCTAAGGACAATTCCATTACTGGAAATGATTTGTTTGCAGGTAAGCATTGCCTTCTATCTTTTGTTCCTTCTATGTGGGTTATAGATAGTGGTGCTACAGACCATATCTGTCATAATTTCAGTGTTTTTTAGTCTGTTAAAGAAGTGTCTGACCTTGATAACACCATCACCATACCAGATGGTAGCACTGTCATTGTTACACAAACTAGAAATGTTAAAATCTCAGACACTATCACTCTTAGAAATGTGCTTTATGTTCGTGATTTTCAGTTCAATCTGATTTCAGTTCATAAGTTGTGTGAAGATCTCAACTGTTCTGTTTCTTTTTCTGATACTTCTTGTGTCCTTCAGGGCCTTCACATGACCAAATCAGTGCATCTTGGTGATTTAAGACATAGTCAATACTATCTAGAAGTTCCACAACACATTGATGGTTCCAATTCAAGTATAGAGAATTCAAATAAACTTGTAGTTTCACATCCTTGTAATGCTTTAGTTGCTTTGTCTAGGAGTGATGAAGCCAAATTATGGCACTTAAGGTTAGGACACTTGCCTATTGACAAGTTGAGGATAATAAGGAATAATGTTGATGTAAAAAGCCTTGACAGTTGTATCTGCTAAGTCTGTCCTGCTGCCAGGTAGCCTAGGCTACCTTTCCCAGTTAGCCATTCTGTTTCTTCTTTTCCTTTTCAGCTTATTCACTTAGATATTTGGGGTCCCTTGTCAACTCCAAATCACAATGGTTGTAAAATGTTCCTTACAATAGTGGATGATTTTACTAGAAATACTTGGATTCATTTGCTTAAATACAAATCTGAGGCTGTGAGTATTATACAGAATTGTGTTGCTTATGTTGAAAACCAATTCAAGACTTCTGTTATGTTTGTTAGGAGTGATAATGCTAAGGAGTTGACTGAGGGAGATATGTTGTATTTCTATAATTCTAAAGGCATTATTATTCAGAAGAGTTGTGTTGACACTCCTCAACAAAATGGGGTAGTTGAGAGAAAACACAAACACATTTTGGAAGTTGCTAGGAGTCTATATTTTCAATCTAGAATCCCTTCACATTATTGGGGTGAGTGTGTTCTATGTGTTGTCCATATTGTCAACAGAACTCCTCTTAAGGTTCTAGGTTTTGTTTCACCATATGAAAAGCTTTTTATGGTTCCACCTGATATAAAGGATATGAGAGTATTTGGGTGTTTATGTTTTGTTTCAACCTTGAAACAAAACAGAAGCAAGTTTGATCCTAGGGAAGAACCTTCCATTTTTGTTGGTTACTCCCCATCCCAGAAAGGATACAAAGTTCTTAACCTGAAAACAAGGAAATTTCAGTTTCCAGGGATGTAATCTTCCATGGGAAATTTTTCCCTTTTCATCATTCTCACCCTTCTGATCCTTCCACTTATTCATCTCCAAATTTTCATATTTTTGTTCCTTCTTCTACTTCCCTAGATAACATCTCATTTCATGATTTCCCAGATATTTTTACCCCTGATAACCTTCCTGCTTCACACTCACATTTACATACTCTTCCTTCTTCCACTCAAACACCTGTCTATACACCTAACATTTCTAATACTTCTACTTCTACTCCTTCTTCTCCTTCTACTCCTCATTCTCCCATTTCTTCTCCTATTGTTCAACCAGAAACTAGGATTTCCAGTAGACCAATTAAAATTCCCAAGAAATTTTCTGATTTTTATCTCAGTCTCCCAAAATCCAAAACCCATAATTCCACTAGATCTGCTAATATTAGCAGAAATTGGTGTAACTTGGTCAAATATGGTGCTCTTCCTGCCAGCCAGAGAGCTTTCATTGCAGTGACTTCTGAAGAACAAGATCCTACTTCTTACTTGGAAGCCTCAAAGAATCCAAATTGGGTAGCTGCTATGGCAAAGGAATTAGAAGCTTTGAAGGCTAATGAAACATGGCAGATGGTTCCTCTCCGTGCTGGGAAGAAACCAATTGGTTGCAAATTGGTCTTTAAGATCAAGAGAAGAGCAGATGGTTCAATTGAAAGATATAAAGCCAGGTTGGTTGCAAAAGGTTATTCCCAAAAGTATGGTATAGACTACACTGAGACTTTTTCTCCTGTGGTTAAAATGGAGACTATTAGATGCATTTTGGCTCTGGCAGCTTGTCAAGGTTGGGATATTTCACAGCTAGATGTCAATAATGCTTTCCTTCATGGAAATTTGAATGAAGAAGTGTATATGAAGGCACCTGAGGGTTGGAATGTTCACATAATCAGGTTTGCAAGTTGACTAAGTCTCTATATGGTTTGAAGCAGGCTTCTAGGCAGTGGTTTGCCAAGCTATATGATGAGCTGCTTTCTCAAGGTTTTAGACAGAGCAAGAAGGATTATTCTCTTTTCATTAAAAAAGGGCATGGGCATATAACTCTGGCAGCTGTGTATGTTGATGACATGATCATCACTGGTACAGATTCTGATAGCATAAATTCTTTGAAGCATCACCTGGATTCTCTTTTTGGGATTAAAGACTTAGGAAAGTTGAGCTATTTCTTGGGTCTGGAGGTTGGCTATTCCTCTAAGGGGATTACTTTATGTCAACATAAGTTTACAAAAGAGTTGCTTCAGAGTGCTGGTTTATCAGAGTTCAAACCTGCTTTAACTCCTTTGCCACTACATCTCAAGCTGAATGCCTCAGATGGAGACTTGTTTCAGGATCCTGAATTGTACAGAAGCCTGGTAGGAAAGTTAAATTTTCTATCTCATACTCGTCCTGACATCTCTTATACAGTTCAGGTGTTAAGCCAATTTATGCAAAGACCAAGACAACCACATTATCAGGCATTAATGCATACTTTGAGGTATATTGCTGGCACTGCAGGACAGGGGATTTTACTTCAAGGATCTGACAAGATTACCTTGCAAGCATACTCAGACAGTGATTGGGGTTCCTGTACTGACACCAGAAGATCAGTTACAGGTTATGTTTTGTTGCTTGGTCATTCTCCTATAAGTTGGAAAAGTAAGAAACAAGGCACAGTTTCTACTTCTAGTTCTGAGGCAGAATATCGTGCTATGGCCTCAGCATCTTCTGAAGTTGCTTGGATAGTGCGTTTGTTGGAAGAACTTGGAGTCACAGGATTACAGCCTGTTACTCTGAATTGTGATAACCAGAATGCTCTGCACATTGCTCGAAATCCAGTTTTCCATGCTCGAACAAAACACATAGAAATCGACTGCCATTTCACTCGTGATAAATTTCTTCAAGGGCTCTTATAGCTGTCTTACTTGCCTACTACAGAACAACTTGCAGATGTGTTTACAAAAATTTTGCCCTCACATCAGTTCCAGTACTTATTGTCCAAGCTTGGAATGGTTTAACCCCTTCCTAGCTTGCGGGGGGTGTTGATTATAATACCTTAGTTGCAGTGCAGGATAGTTATCCTACACCACACTAGTTTTTGTTGTAACAATATTCTGTTATTGGTTTGCTGAGTCAGCATCCATTTACTATCTATTCCCACAATTAGTTATTAGTTAGTTAGGTGAGTTATAAATACTCTTCCCCTGTAATAATTTCATTTATTCAGAAATAATAAACACATTAAAATTCTTTCATTTGTTTCTCTCTCTAGTTTTTCCCTCTCTCTAGTTCTTCGATTAACACGACTATGATGAGCGATGTTGTTGCAGACATTATGTGCCTCGTATCAGACAACCTTGATGACAAACGACTTGTGTAGTCGTACACTCGTACGTGGATGAAGGGTGCCACTGAAGATCACCCTGTGTGTTATGCTACACTTTTCAATTTTTCATGCTATGCAACTAGCCCACTATATTTTGCTGTTCTTTGCTTGTTATAGGCTGATTGTCAATATACATGTAGCTGCCCTTTCATTTTGATGAATGAATTTGAATCATTGTTGACAGTTGGAATTACTCACTTATAAAGTGTTAGACATAGTTGTCTCAAAACATATGTTTTCCTAACGTGTGTAGATTTTAAAGTGTTAGACATGATGTTAAAAGTTAGAACATGGTAATCGTGGTTAAAAACTAATTTAGCATATTGCTAAGACTCTAAGATTGTGTGAACTACTTTCCAATTATTACAAAGTAGCAATGAACAAAATTTATTAATTTGTGCAATGGAGTAACAAATCTATCACTGAACGACGAGTTCTAGCTCACCTTGATCCCAACCCTATATAACACCCCCCACGAATTATAATTTATATTGTGAACGCGACTCAACTTGACTAGATGGATTATATCAACAATTGTTAGTCTTCCTGCTATTATTATAACGGATAGTTGCAATAACTATTTATCAACCTACATGTATCATTTCTTCTTCAAAACACAGTTCTTCAAAATTATCACATGTAAATGAATACTAACCTATGAATTGAGCAAACAGCGAACAGATTTCCCCTGCCAATCTCAAAATTATTGCCCAGAACCAGAATTATTATATTTATAGTTAGTGGCACCCAAGTACTGCTTTACCCACATAAGACTTTTTATGCAATCTACTCTTCTTCCATGAAAATTTCATGCTTTCTCTTGTCACATTTATATGTTTCCAACATTTATTGCACATTTCATACTTGTATTTGTTTACATTCACATAAAACTGTTTGATATTTGAATTGATAGAAAACACAAATTTAGGTAAGAAAATTGAGGATCATGAGTTGGTATTGTTGTGGTTTATCGTTCCAAAGGACTAATAGCCAAGTGAGACGGCCACCTTCTGATTCAACTCTTTTGCCCGCGACAAATTCACAACTTGGTGAGTATACCTCAATGCATTTTCCTTTTTTCGACAATATGTAAGCATATTACCTACTAGTGTTTTTTAAGTCTAAATTGAACTTGTAAGAATTCATCCTAATACGTGTATTAATATACATGCTAGAGTAGGCAAGTTCGTGTATCTTTGTTGAATTATATATCTTCTGCAACTGTTTTTAACTAATCAGCTGATTCTTCAGCATCTTCTTCAGAAAACAAAGAGCCTAACACAACTGAAAGAGCTAATGATGACAGTGCTCCAACCAGAAAGATACATGAATTTACTTTTCAACAGCTACTTGAGGCAACTCAGAGATTCAGTACAGAATGTTTCATGGATGAACGTAGCTTTGGACCTGTTTACCAAGGGAAACTCAGAGATACCGGAGAGGTACTAACAAGGACTTCATTTCCTGCTTTCTCCGTTTCTAAATGTTCTTCTATGTTTGACTTTTTCTATCAGAAATATACCAACTAGGATTCTAGGAATAACATTTAAGAACAAAGGATGTACTTAACGAAGTAGAATTCTATCACCATCCAATTCACGTCGTCGTTGAATGAAGACTGACATTAGATCATTTGTTCTTAGATTGTAGCTGTCGAGCTTTGGGATCAAAATATTCGAAATGAATCACCAGAACACAAAGAATTTCTTCGACGGTTAAAGATACTGAGCTTCCTTAATCATCCAAATGTGATAACTCTTATAGGATATTGTATTGAAGAAGATCAGAGAATATTAGTTTACGAATATCTGTCTTTGACATCATCCCTGTACCGGCATCTACACGGTAATAAAATTTGTTCTAAATTCTGATCTTATGTTTAAACATGAACCATCTTATGTTCTAAAAAAAGTACGTGTTCTTATGATGGTAAGACGGTCTTACACAAAAGTTTCTTAGGTTTCGTAGCAGCCAACTACTAATTGTTTCATGTGGTATTATGTTATATTGTCACTTTGCATCAGCAAGTAAACTTTGAAATTTCAGGCAGATTATCAAAGAAAAATCCGCCCTTAGATTGGAATACGAGAATGAAAATAGCTCTGGGGATAGCCAGAGGTTTAGAATGTATACATGCTGCTAGCCCTCCAATAATCTACTGGTTGAGGTCCAGGAATATGTTTTATACTCTATCACTCCCCTTCACATGAAAGGCCTTTTGGGTTTGAAATGTGGATGCAACACACACCCTCTCATACCCGGCGCGAATTAATTCCACTTTAAAGGAGGGGTGGATGAGATTCGAACCCGTGACCTCTATGTCACGTTGGCTCTGATACCATATTAAAGGACCAACTCAACCAAAAGCTTAAGCTAATAGTTAAGGCTCAGGAATATGTTTTATACTCTATCAGAACCTTATGATCACAACGATTATACTTGCACAACAACATTGATTGGAATTGGCTCTGAAGGTTACCATGCACCGGAGTATATAGCTACAGGTCGTTTGACTGTGAAGGCAGATGTATACAGCTTCGGAGTTGTTTTACTAGAGTTGGTCACAGGGCGAAAAGCTAAGGACATCTCTAGGCCAACTAAGGAACAGGATCTGATCTCTTGGGTAAATTTTATCCTCATTTCATGACTGCCTAATTTTCAATACAGATTGAAACTCTTACACTTTTCACACACGTACCTAAACACAAGTTATATGTTACTTGTACCATTATGTTTTGAGACAGAGGGAGTAATTGTTAAGCCGAAACTCATTCCAATTCGACACCTTACAGTACTTCCCCTAGTTGCATCACTGCAGTCTAGCTGCAGGATACATATACATATCTTGCTCCTCTTACTGTCTTTCTACTAAGAACCCTACAACTTAAACTTCAATTTTTGAAGCTAACTAGTTCGTTCAATTTTGAGTGTAACTATATCATATAATTTATCCTGGAACTTTTTCTTTGGAATTTACTATGTCAAATTGACTTTTGGAAAATAATGCTTTTCTCCAATTATTAATTATTAGGCACATAAGAAAATAAAGAAGCCTAAGAAGTTTCAGAGTTAGCAGACCCGCTCCTACAGGGGAATTTTCCAGCAAATGGATTCAGTCAAGCACTCGCGTTGGTAGTCAAGTGTCTTCGGTTACAAGAATCAACATGACCCATGATGAGCGATGTGGTTGCAGACATTATGTGCCTCACCTCAAACAACTAACCTTAATGACTAACGACGTATGTAGTCGTACACTCAGTATGTGGATGAAGGTGTCATTGAAGATCACCCTTTGTGTTATGCTACATTTTTCATGCAATGCAACTAGCCCACTTTTTTCTTTTTTCTTTTTTTTTTTTTTTTTTTTTTTTTTTTTTTTTTTTTTTATCTCCTTTGCTTGTTATAGGCTGATTTTCAGTTTACATGTAATAAACCAACCATTTTTCATATGTGAATTGATAAAATGAATGATTTTTTTACTCATTGTTGATGATTGGAATCGTTCACTTAATTGTCAGTTTCAACTTGACTAGATTATGTCAACAATTGTTAGTCTTCCTGCTATTTTTATAACGGATAGTGGCAGTGTGGCACCCAAGTTATTATTTCCCCTTCCTGCATAAGACTTTTCTGCAACTTCATGAAGTCTTCTACTTTTGTACATTCTTCCAAGAAAACTTCAGCACCTCCTTTTTGTTTTAGGTAAATCATGAGTTGGTATTGCTGTGATTCATCGTCCCGACTCAATAAAGCACTGAAAAAGATAAATGGCAAACTGAGGCAGCACCCTTCCTCTGATTTGACTGTTTCGCCTAAGAAACTTACACAACCTGCTTGTAAGAATGTACAATTACAATTTCGTGTTTGAGATGATCATGGAATGGCAATATAATTAAGTGAGGCTCTACCTATTTTTATTATCTTCAGACAAAGATGAGCCTAATAACACGGCTGAAAGAGCTATCAACGACAGTTGTCCACCTATCGCGGAAATTTATACTTACAGACAGCTAGCTGATGCAACACATAACTTCAATCGTAAATGTCTGGTGAATGTAGGCATCTTTGGGAATGTTTACAGAGGACAACTCGGAGAAGCAAGAGAGGTATTGTTGTGCGACAGCGGAAGCAAAGGTCGAAAACAAACAAGAAAACAATAAAGAAATTCAATGCAAACAATAAGAACAACACCAAGAATTTACGTGGTTCACTATCGATGTGATAGCTACGTCCACGGGCACCGAGATCGAATGATTTCACTATAAACTGCAAAGATTACAAAGATGATTCTTGTATTTCTCAAGAACGGCTCTCACTCTCTCTCTCTTAACCCTAATACTAATATTAGGGAGGTTTTATATTAATCCCTAAAATAAAAGATACTTGGGCAAAAAGATAACATAAAAGATAACTTTAAATCGTAAAATCCGCGTCTCCGCATTTTTCCTTCTCCGCCCGGTCAGACCGGGCAAGGTCTGCCCGATCGGGCGCGAGAAGAAAACTCCATACGAATGCTTCAACGTATCCAACCCCCACCGCCCGGTCAGACCGGGCAAGGTCTGCCCGATCGGGCGAAGGCTCGCCCGGTCGGGCGAAGGCTCGCCCGGTCGGGCGCGAGAGCAGCTTCTTCAACGAATTTGCCAGGCACCTCTTCTTCTTCCGCCCGGTCAGACCGGGCAATGTCCGCCCGATCGGGCGGACAAAGCTACGAAGTACGAGTCACCTAATATACTTATCAACAATCTCCACCTTGACGAGAACTCGTAGTCAGCAAACGACCCCATCAAGACATAGTGAAAAAACATCTCAAGCCAAACCCGATGCAGGACTCATGCATAAGCCATACATCCCGATAAGTCTTCAACCAAGACCCATCACATACTCGTCTCCAAGTATAACAACTCATAATGCTCCACCTGCATCACAAGCCCCGGGCAAGCTCCACCTTAATGCCAACACACCTACACCAGGAGCTCCCCAACTTCGCCCCTCAGGGCCTACTACATCACGTAGTAATCAATATTTAGCAAGTCTAAGCAATGTTTAAACTTGCTAAACGGAACAGGCTTAGTGAAGAAATCAGCCGGGTTGTCAGCAGTCCCAATCTTCTTCACCTTAATCCTCTTGTCAGTACGTAAGAAATGATACCTGACATCAATGTGCTTCGTCCGATCATGGTGTACTTGATCTTTAGCTAAGCAAATCGCACTTAGACTATCACAATACACTGTAGCAAAATCCTGTGCAATACCCAGTTCACCTACTAGGCCTTTGAGCCAAATAGACTCCTTAGCTGCAGAAGTTAGAGCCATATACTCAGCTTCAGTAGTTGACAACGTAACTGATGACTGCAATGTAGACTTCCAACTAACCACAGAACCACCCAAAGTGAACACATAACCAGTCACAGATCTCCTGGTATCCACATCAGCTGCATAATCAGAATCACTGTACCCAGTGACCAAGCATTCCTTACCATTCCCGTACACAAGACCAATATCAGCTGTCCCTCTCAGGTAGCGAAAAATCCTTTTCACCCCTTGCCAGTGTTCCCTCCCAGGTCGAGCCATAAACCTGCTTACAACACTAACAGCATGCGCAATATCCGGCCTAGTACAGACCATAGCATACATCAAACAACCAACCGCGTTCGCATATGGAACTCTAGACATATAAGACAACTCCTCCTCTGATTGAGGTGACATAGACAAAGACAACTTACAACTAACAGTAGTTGGCGTACTTATAGGCTTCGATTTTTCCATCCCAAAACGAGACAAAATCTTTTCAATGTAGCTTTTCTGAGTCAAGAAAAGCTTACCTCTAGCCCGATCCCTGTAGATCTCCATACCCAAAATCTTCCTAGCTGCACCCAAGTCTTTCATGTCAAACTCCGAGTTAAGCATCTCCTTTAATCTAGCAATATCAGATTTATTCTTTGTGGCAACCAACATGTCATCAACATATAACAAAAGATAAATCATGGAACCATTATCCAGCTTACTATGATACACACAGCAATCATATGAATTCCTGTCAAAACCTTGTGAAACCATAAAAGAATCAAACCTTTTGTACCACTGTCGGGGGGATTGCTTAAGTCCATACAATGACTTTAGCAATCTGCAGGCATAGTGTTCCTTTCCAGGAGCTTCGAATCCTTCGGGCTGCTTCATCAGAATCTCCTCCTCCAAATCGCCATGAAGGAAGGCCGTTTTAACATCCAACTGCTCCAGCTCAAGATCAAAATGTGCTACAATTGACAATAACACACGGATAGAAGTATGTCGAACCACAGGTGAGAATATCTCAACAAAGTCAACCCCTTCTACCTGACTGAACCCCTTAGCAACTAGCCTAGCCTTAAAACGTATTTGCTCAGTTTCCGACAACCCTTCTTTCTTCTTGTAAATCCATTTACAACCCACAAGCTTCCTCCCTTCCGGTACCTTTACCAGTTCCCACACTCTGTTCTTGTAAAGAGACTGCATCTCTTCACCCATTGCGGCAAGCCATTGCGCAGACTCACTACAACTAATTGCTTGTTTATATGTGGCAGGTTCAAATGACTCTACATCATCAGCTACACTCAATGCATAACCTGTCATCGCATCAACACAGCAATTTCTTCCCTCCATCTCTTCAATCAATCTAACAGGCTTCTTGATAACTCGTTTAGGCATCTCAAGAATGGTGTCAGGTTGACTAGATGACCCCTGATTAGATTGCTCCACCTCATCCCCAGAGTTAGAATGAGTAGGAGTAATCTCAGGTTCAGGAGTACCCGGCACTGGAACATCAGCATCATCATCAATATATTGTACCCGAGGTAAATCAGCAATGGTAGACTGATGTACCTCAAGTACCCCATCTGTCTGTAATAAATTGTCTCCTTCCCTTCTCAAATCTGAAATCTCTGCATTTTTAATTGAATACATGGTGTTTTCATCGAAAGTAACATCCCTACTAAGAATGACCCGACCCTCCGAAGGTGAAAAAATTCTAAACCCCTTCACACCATCCCCGTACCCAACAAAAACACCCCTTCTTGGCTCGTGGATCCAGCTTACCCTCAATAACATGATAATAAGCAACACAACCAAAAATCTTCAAATTCGAAAAATTAGGCAACTTACCACTCCAGATCTCAAACGGAATCTTGGAATCAATTCCAGAATGAGGACCCCTATTAATGACATAACAAGCTGTTAACACAGCTTCACTCCAGTACCTCCTCCCAAGCCCTGCATTAGAGAGCATGCATCGGACTCTCTCTAGCAGTGTCTGATTTACCCGTTCTGCTACACCGTTCTGCTGTGGTGTCTTCCTGACAGTATGATGCCGACCTATACCCTCATCTGCACAGAACTGATTAAACTCGTCTTTGCAAAACTCTAGCCCATTGTCCGTTCGTAGCTTCTTGATCTTCCTTCCTTGTCGATTTTCCACCAAAGCTTTCCATTGCTTGAAAACTTTGAAGGCCTCATCCTTTGACTTAAGCAACCTAAGCCATGTGTATCGGGACTTGTCATCAACAAATGACACAAAATAGTGGTAACCTCCCATACCTTCAACTCTAGATGGACCCCAGCAATCTGAATGGATGTAATCGAGCACTGCATCAGTAATGTGAGCACTCTTGCTGAACTTTGACCTGTGTTTCTTACCAAACACACAATGCTCACAAAATTCAAGGTTGGCAACCTTGACCCCGGATAGAAGACCCCTCTTGGACAATAGCTGCATCCCCTTCTCCCCCATATGACCAAGCCTCATGTGCCAAATCTTAGTCATCTCCTGGTGAGATACAGATGCGCAAACCGCAGAACTAGGCAGTGTAACACCCTCAAAAACATAGAGGGTGTTCCTTTTGATACCCTTAAGTACCAACTCAGAACCTCTGAAAATACACAACTCCCCATCTGAAAACACACCATTGTACCCCAATTCATCCAGGGTACCCAATGAAATCAGATTCTTTCCTAAAGCAGGAACATGCCGTACATTAGTCAAAGTTAACCTCCGCCCATCAACAGTCCTCAACCTCATGGAACCAATACCTGTGACCTTACATGGAGCATTGTTACCGACTATAACCATACCCCCATTGCGAGGTTCATATGTATCAAACCAATCTCGACGTGGACACATATGGAACGAACACCCCGAATCTAGAACCCAGTTATCAGATAAATCATCAGACCTAGCAGAACTGACTAATGCTAAATCTTCCTCTGAATTATAGCTCTCATTCGGTTTCTCTTCAACTACAGCAGCCTGGGACTTGTTTTTCCTCACCGGACAATTATTCCTAAAGTGACCCGGTTCTTTACAGTAATAACATGTTTTAGTAGTAGTTTTACTAGATCCATCCTTGCCGTTTCCAGCACCCGACCCAGCATTGTTCCCCTTGTTAAACCCCTTATTCTTTTTAGACTTTCCGGACTTAACAAATAACCCACTACCATTATCCCCATTATCACTCGTAGCTTTCATTCTGAGTTCCCTAGTATGAAGTGCTGCCTTCACTTCTTCTAAGGTTATAGAATCCTTACCAACAACAAAAGACTCTACAAAATTCTCAAAGCTAGACGGTAGAGATACAAGTAAAATCAACGCAGCATCCTCATCATCAATTTTAACATCTAAATTACGTAAATCAAGCAAAATAGAGTTAAGTTTTTCTAGATGTTCCCGTAAGGAAGTACCTGACTGCATCCGGAGGCTAAACAACCGCTGTTTCAGTAATAATTTGTTGGTCAACGACTTAGTCATATACAATGACTCCAGCTTCAGCCACAATCCAGCCGCCGTTTCCTGATCAGCAACCTCCGTGATGATTTGATCATCAAGACTAAGTAATATGGTAGAGTGTGCCTTCTCTTCCATAACTTCTAACTGCGAGTCAGTCGGTCCGTCTCCTGACTCCGAAGTAGTACTCTTTGGAGCCAACGGACGCCATATCTGCTGTTGTTTTAACAGAGCCTTCATCTTAATTTGCCATAGCCCGAAACTATTTTTCCCGGTAAACTTCTCAATTCTTATTGTTGAATCTCCTGCCATTGTTATCTTCAAGAAACTCTCCAAGGATTGAACCTGGCTCTGATACCAATTGTTGTGCGACAGCGGAAGCAAAGGTCGAAAACAAACAAGAAAACAATAAAGAAATTCAATGCAAACAATAAGAACAACACCAAGAATTTACGTGGTTCACTATCGATGTGATAGCTACGTCCACGGGCACCGAGATCGAATGATTTCACTATAAACTGCAAAGATTACAAAGATGATTCTTGTATTTCTCAAGAACGGCTCTCACTCTCTCTCTCTTAACCCTAATACTAATATTAGGGAGGTTTTATATTAATCCCTAAAATAAAAGATACTTGGGCAAAAAGATAACATAAAAGATAACTTTAAATCGTAAAATCCGCGTCTCCGCATTTTTCCTTCTCCGCCCGGTCAGACCGGGCAAGGTCTGCCCGATCGGGCGCGAGAAGAAAACTCCATACGAATGCTTCAACGTATCCAACCCCCACCGCCCGGTCAGACCGGGCAAGGTCTACCCGATCGGGCGAAGGCTCGCCCGGTCGGGCGAAGGCTCGCCCGGTCGGGCGCGAGAGCAGCTTCTTCAACGAATTTGCCAGGCACCTCTTCTTCTTCCGCCCGGTCAGACCGGGCAATGTCCGCCCGATCGGGCGGACAAAGCTACGAAGTACGAGTCACCTAATATACTTATCAACAGGTATATTATAAATATTATGTACCTTCATTAACATATAACCTTTTAATTTCTGACAGGTTTTTAGCTGAAGTAAAATTTGTTGCTGTTCTTTTTGGCTTTGCTGACATTGGATAGGTTATTATTAGATTGTAGCGATTGAACATTTGGACAGAAATGGATCACGAGGAGATAGTGAATTTGATGTACAGGCGATGATGTTGAACCTCCTAAATCATCCAAATGTGATCAATCTTACAGGATACTGTACTCGAGGAAATGATAGGTTTTTAGTTCATGAGTATTTGCCTTTGGGATCCTTAGACAAGCATCTGCACGGTAATAATCTGTCGAATTCTCTTAAGTTGTTATCTGATGCAATCTTAGCAGACAGTCAATTTTTTTGTTTTTATAAAAAGGTTAGTCATTTTGAAATTCAGACAGATCATCTCTGCATACACCAACATTAGATTGGCACACGAGAACGAGAATAGCTCTGGGGACTGCTAACGCGTTAGAATATCTGCACAATAAAGCCAACCCTCCTGTCATATATCGCAATCTGAAACCCTGCAACATCTTACTAGACAATGACTATAATGCTAAGCTCTCTGATTTCAGCCTGTCAAAGTTTGGACCTATTTGTGATAAGGAACATGTTTCTGTGAGAGTTCGGGGAACATTTGGCTACATTGCACCGGAATATGTGAAAAGAGGTTTTTTGTCTGTCAAGGCAGATGTATACAACTTTGGAATTGTTTTGTTAGAGTTGCTCACAGGTCGAAGAGCTGTCGACATTATAAGGGAAACTAAGGACCAGGAGCTGTCCTATTGGGTTAGTTTTCCTCTCGATTTATTTTCATACAAAAAGATTGCTTCCTTTTCATTTCACGTCTATTTTATGAAATTTTAGATGCAGACTGCCTTCATCTCAATCAATTTCATAGATAGAGGTAGTCTGCATCTCAAATAAGAAACAGGAAAAACTTTTAGAGATAGAGAGTATTATACATTTTCTTGCTTCACCTAAACACGAGCTATGTTACTCATGCGAGTTTGAGATAGAGGTAGTCTGCGTCCCTGCAGACTACTGATTCATACAGTATGTAGTTACACCGTCTAATGTGAAGCTAACTATTATTCCATATTTCATTAATAATTGTGCTTTACATGAAATCCATGCTGCAAGTTTAACTTCAGAACTTTCTAAAACTGAAACTTTTGAAAAACAATGTTTCTTATTTCCTAATTAGGCCAATCGAATGGTATTGAAGAAATCAAAGAAGATTCTAGAGTTAGCAGACCCGCTTCTGCAGGGGAATTTTCCATCTCGAAGCTTCTACCAAACATTCGCGGTGGCAGCCATGTGCCTTGTAGAAAATTTAACAGCACGACCCATGATGAGTGATGTAGTGGCCGCCATCTCGTACATTTCATCCGATTGCAACCTTGACAACACGAATAATTCTCCACTACATGAAGCCTAATTGAGTAGAGCATATTATAGGGATGAATTGCACAATACCAAAACATCATTCTTATGGACAGCAGCATCATTCTAATATGAATATATGATGCTTGTTTTCTTTTCAATCTCATTATTGCAGTATATGATGCTAAACCTTGGTATACCCCTTGTCCCTCTATTGCTTATTGTTCTTATGTTTTCAATACTCTCTTTGTATTTTTTTTAATTGTATGTATCAACACTTCTCTAAATTGATTGTTTTTAAGCGTAATTGCGCAATATACTTGAAATAATTGAACCTTTGGAGAGTCTATTATGTATACCCGGGTCATTTGCTCATTCAATCAATAAATAAGTGAAAATATTATTTGCTCCTTTGTTGATTAAATGAGCAAATGACCCCAAGTGTACAGTAAACCTGGTGTATATAACAAATTCTAAAACCTTCGCTATACTTTTATTACTTGTACAAAGTATTACGAAGTATATTTTTATCTTCTCATGATCTTCACACTTAATTTTGTCTCATTAAATCTATTGGAATGTTATTGGAGTTGTTCATAATTTTTACAACATAGCAATACAAATTTAAACCTATCGATAATTAAATTTTTCTTAAGTAATTATGAAAAAACAAATAAGTGGATGGACATTATTAAAATTTATGATACACCAAGTCATAATTTATTATGTAGTACTTCTTCCAATCAAATTTCGTCATTATCAATCATCTATATACAATCAACACGGTGATTAATTCCGAACTCATTTATGATCTTGTTAATACGGTAGTGTCCAAGTATGCCACGGCAACATAATTACCCGCCAAAACCCCCACTTAATTGGGTTTGATGATATACATTTCCTAAAATTCCTTCTTTAACCTCCCTCCATTTTTGCCGGAAATTCCAGCCAACAACTTTTTGCTCAATCTCTTATTTTTATTTTTATTTTCTCTCAAAAAAGCTGAGTCCTTTCTACTTTGATCATTTCTTTTTTCTTTGTTTTTTTTTTTTTTTTTTTTTTTTTTTGTTTAATCAAGTGTCATGTTAAATTTTTTTATTAATATTTTGATCATATATAAATTCATGATTCATCTGGGTTGATTTATAAATTGCTGAAAATTTCTGCATTTCGCCTGAATTCTTGGTTCCAATTTTAGTTTTGATTTCTGGGTTTTTGTGGGTGTTTTGATTTTTTTCTTTTCTCTTTTAAATGATTCATTTTTTGTAAATGTCAACCATTTAATCCATTTTCACACCCCAAAAATCTCAACAATTTTTTGAATTTTGAATTTAAAAACCCCAAATTCTTTTTTAATCTTGTTAATTCTTTCATTATTCAATTTTTCATTATTCAATTTTTCATTATCAAACTTGAATTTGATGTTAATTTCCACTATTTTTGACTTTTGAGGAAAAAAGTTTTGTTCTTTATTTAATTTCCTTTCAAATTTTGTCAATAAGAAGTATCAATACTATATTGCTAACAGCTGCATGCATCTTGTTTGATAAAAGTCCTCAACCAAAAAACACAAAAATTTTTTCTTCACATTGACAAAGAAATTGTAAGATACTATCTTAAGTTTTGAATATTTATATTTCTGGGTTTTTCCAGAAAAGGGTAAATTATGGGTTGTTTTCCATGCTTTTCATCACAAAGGAGGAAAGCAGGGAGGCACAATAGCAGAAGGAATGTTGCTTCGCCTCAACACGGTAAGCTTCGGCATCACTGCACCTGTGAATTGATTCATATTGTATTCCTTACATTGCCTTCTATATGTACTAATCAGATTTCTAAGTTCAAGTAATTTTTTGTCAGAGTCAATTAAATGGCTATCTTTATTTTCTGTTTTATCAAGTGTTAGTAGTTGCAGAACATTGCTGTTTGTTGCTGGCTTGTAATAGTTGTAAATCATCATTCATCAGTATCTTTTAGAATATGCAACAGAAGATTGGCAGATATTATATTTTAGTTCTGTTTTTTATTGCAGAAACTCAGGGAGCTAGAGAAACAACTTATAGTATGAATGATCATAGGGAAAATGGGGACAATAATATTGCAGCACAGACTTTTACTTTCAGAGAGCTCGCGACTGCAACGAAGAATTTCCGTCCAGAATGTCTGTTAGGTGAAGGTGGGTTTGGAAGAGTGTACAAGGGCCATCTTTCAAATGGACAGGTATGTTTTAGTTGTATGTCAATTCGTTGCGTTTTCTTCTATGATCTCACTTATAATAATTTCATTTTCTAAAGTGAACTTTTTAGTTGAGCTACTTGCTGATTGTTTTAATGTTTGGTTTCAGACTATAGCAGTAAAGCAACTCGATCGAAATGGCTCGCAAGGGAATAAAGAATTTCTTGTTGAGGTTCTGATGCTTAGTCTTCTACACCATTCAAACCTAGTTAATCTCATAGGCTACTGTTCTGATGGAGATCAGAGGCTTTTGGTTTATGAATTCATGTCTTTAGGATCTTTGGAAGACCATCTGTTTGGTAATCATTTGTCCTATTATTATCACCTCAAATCTAACTTTGTATCGCATATACCTGCAGTATATTGGCTGATTTTGTGGGTGAAAAACTTGTATTATACAGATATTTCGCGGGAGCTAAGACCATTAGATTGGTATAATAGAATGAAAATAGCATTGGATGCTGCCAAGGGATTAGAATATCTTCATGATGCAGCAAGCCCTCCTGTCATCTACCGGGACTTGAAATCATCTAATATATTGCTAGAGAAACACTACCACGCAAAGCTCTCTGATTTTGGACTAGCAAAGCTTGGTCCTACAGGGGAAAATTCGCATGTTTCTACTAGAGTTATGGGAACCTATGGTTATTGTGCACCAGAATACCAAAGAACAGGTCGACTAACAACTAAGTCCGATGTATACAGTTTTGGAGTTGTTTTACTGGAGCTAATTACAGGGCGAAGAGTCATTGACACCAATAGACCAAATCACGAGCAGAATCTTGTCACTTGGGTGAGCTCTTGGTTCTTTTGACACAACCTCCCCCACCCCCTCCTCCCAGAATCAAGTGAAACATGTCTAGAATCTTAATTAATATCACCTAATTGAAAGAAGATAACTGTCTTAAACAGATAGCTCTCTAAATTTAAGAAAGATTGTTAATACTGAATTATTCTGTTAAACATCACAAAAGTTTGCTCTAGTATCTAAGATTTCTTTTCCTAGAACGAGGAAGCTTCTTACATTATGCATTCTCTTACTTGCGAAACTTAATATGCAGGCACAACCATACTTCAGTAATCCAATAAAATACCCACAGTTGGCTGATCCTCTTCTTGATGGGGATTTTCCAGTGAGGGGCTTAAACCAGGCTGTGGCAATAGCAGCAATGTGCCTTCAGGAAGAAGAAAATGCACGGCCTTATATGAGTGATGTGGTGACCGCCCTCAATTACCTGACAGTAGACCCACATGAAGGCTATACTTCTCCTGATGGTTCTCCTGTCAGTCAATACACTGACTGTAACAATCACCAGGTCCAAGGACATCACGATCAAAGTGCTATAGAGCGCCAGAGAGCATTAGCAGAAGCCATGGAATGGGGCTCTACTCACACTGCTCTATCCCGGGCTACTAGCTATAACTCAACAGCATAAATCTTTTTTTTCATTTTTTGTCCTATGGTATGACTTTGCTAATAGCAATGCATAATGCAACCTAAGGCAGTATAACAAATTTGTTACGTAAGTGCAATGTGTTGGAGTTTGGATTTGCCAAATTGTGCAGTTTTTTTGTTTCGAGGATACAAATGCATATATGAGAGGGAAAGTGGTGTCTTGACAGTTGAGCTCTACATTTGTGGACTTGTTGAACTCCTGAAAGACGAATCTGTATAATGATATATGAGGGCAGAATGCTCAAATTTCTAATGGATCTTGTACAAACAGTAATAAACGTCTTTCCTAAATGTTAAAGTGTTAAACCAGTTCAATGTTGATACTACTTTGCTGCTGTGATGCCACTGTCCTATGTTCTATACGCCAGGCATGCTGGCATGTACTTTCATATCTGATTGAATACCTTCTGCAGAGAAACAGCATAGAATGGGAAAATGGGTGGTAATTACGTTCATGAGATGCTAGGTTGGAAATATAAGTGAATTTAAGAAACACTGCACAATCCCTCAAAAATAAGGAAATACAATTAATCAAATTTGTTCTTTGTCATCCACCCTATAGGGCAACTTCACGCCCTAAAGGGTAGAAGCATAGAACTAGCATGTTCGCACATAGAATATAAGGAGTATTTTCTAAATTTGTACTCGTACATAACAAATCAACAATAACAACTTAGAAATGTAGAGTATTGAAGATATTACACAACCAACCATGTACAAATTTGGTAAGAATTAAGAAATCAATTTCCAAGATTTCACTCAATTACTGAAGGTGGGTACCTTTATCAAAACATGTTATTCAAAACTTGTGAGAGAAATCATAAAAATAAGACGCACAATGGAACTAGTAGATGATTAACGTTAATATAGTAAACTTATTTCATATATAAAAAATTAGACGCACAACCAATTTCTGAAAATTTTAGCCAATCTCAAGCTATGTTAATAAAGTAACTAAGGAGTGGTGTAAAATTTAGTATTATCACACGAGTCAAATCAAATTGAGCTCACGAATTTGGGTTCGATTTAGATGATAAAGTTCAAATTCTCTCAATAACTCCTAATCGGATTATCACTTTGAGACAAAAATTATCAGCGCTATTCCAATTATACTATGCTAATTCGTAATAGTGGATTATTACTCGTACTTATTAAGGAGTATTAACTTTTCCTGCCAAATTAAAACGAAAAACTCCATCTTTGCCGATCTCAATACAATCTATCTCTAAAAACCCAAAATTGATGACTTAACTAGACTTGAAAAATACTCCAATTTCATGTCATATCATTGTTGAATAATCTGCATTGAATCAAACCCAGATCACCCTATTTTCCCTATTTTTTCCTATTTCTTCTTAATTTCTACCGACATTCTATCAAAAAATTTAATCTTTCTGATTTAGCAATCGCTTCTGGGTTCACCCAGAACAGGTGCGTACTTTAATTATTGCTAATCAAACTTGATGATTTCCCTATGTTAATCTTTGTTAAATTTATGATATTTGAAATTATTATGTTGTAATTCGCGTAATTAGTGATTTTGATGTATTGGGTCTTTAGATTTTTTATCATAAACGTATAACCCAATGCAAAAGATTTGGTTTTTTTTTTGTAGGGTTTCTATGCTTTTTGCTAAATTCTGCTTGATTCGTTTTTCTGTGTATGTATTTCATTGATTTATTGTTTATATCCCTTGAACCTAAAATTAATTTGTTGTTTGTGTTGGTGCTGATTTATAATTATTTTATGTTTTGAGTGTAACTTTCCCCTTTGTTGATTAATTCCTGCATAATTCAGGTGATTGTTGATCGATATGCTTTGGTTACATCAATGATAATGAGGCTGTAGTATTCGAGTGTGACTGTAATTGGGTATTTTGGCTTGATGCTATCCGTTTTTTGATTAATTCCTGCATAATTCAGGTGATAGTTGATCAATATCCGTTGGTTACATCAATGATAATGAGGCTGTAGTATTTGAGTGTGACGGTAATTGGGTATTTCGGCTTGATGCTATCACAAGTTTAGAGAGTTTTGTAGCTTAGGTGTGTGGACTATGAGAACTGAGGTTTCGAGATGGATTATAGGTTTGATATATATTGTGGCAGTGGCCGGTATTTGGATTGCTGCTAGCTACGTGGTTCAATCTGTTGTTGATGAAGGAATTTCGCCCTTCCTCATCACATACATTTGTAATTCATTGTTTATAGTTTATATCCCTCTTGTGGAAGCTTCAAGATATTTGGAAAATTATAATGGGAAATTTTGCTTTTGGCGGAAAAAACCGGAAGTTGGCTCGCAAGAATTAGCTCGTTCTGAGGAGGTTGTCCTTCTTGGGAAAAGCGATTTAGACGAGCCTACATGTGGTTTAAATCCCCATTTAGGTATTAGCCAAGAAGAAACTAATCTAAGCTCTATAGAATCTGTTCCTGAGTCAAATTTTGAAGAGGAAAATGATTTGCCTGGCCAAGTTAGTGCTGATAAAGATCTTGATAAACAACTGGATTCAAAGGGACGTTGGACACGCTCTAGGGTAGCAAGAGTCAGCCTATTGATTTGCCCATTTTGGTTTTTGGCACAGCTTACCTTTAATCTTTCGTTGAAGTATACGACAGTCACTGTAAGAACAAACCCTCTCATCTTTGTCCTTTCCTTTTCACTTTCTTGGATATATTTCTCTTTTTGACTATATGTTATGCTTGAAGAACATTGCATAGTGCCTAAATTGTATTTCTAATTTCTGCAGTCAAATACAATCTTAAGCACGTCTTCTAGCCTTTTCACCTTTATGCTCTCTCTGGCATTCTTGGGCGAGAAGTTCACTTGGTTGAAGCTCATGGGTGTACTTCTTTGTATGGGAGGAACAATCATTGTCAGCTTGGGTGACAAGGAAGCAGGAAAGGGCGTAATCAACTCGAATCCTATTCTTGGAGATATATTGTCTCTTTCTTCAGCTGGTCTATATGCTGTATATATAACACTCATTCGTAAGAAGTTGCCTGATGATGAGAAAAGCGGTCAAGTTAGCATGGCACAGTTTCTGGGGTATTTGGGATTTTTCAACATGGTGATTTTCCTACCTGTTGTGCTTGTATTGCAGTTGGCTAAGGTGGAATTTTTTACCACATTTACCTGGAAGCAGTTTGGCTTGATTATAGGCAAAGGTATGTTTTCAAGTAATTTTCTTTTTTATGGTTATACATGTCTTTCTTGCATGTATGTAGTTGAAAACACATGATCCTTCTTTCATAGGCTATCTGCTTATGCATCAACTCCTCCTACCCCCCCCCCCCTCTCTCTCCCCCACCTCTTAAAAACATAAGTGAGATACTGCATTGATGATGGCGAAGTAGATGTACAGCATACATGTCTTGGCATCTTGCAGATAGTAGTTAAAGTAAATTCCTTTGACGCATCTTGTACACAGTCTGGACTTCTGTATCACCTTTTTCCTTATTGCTCAGACCCTACTTTCCATAAATAAACTTTTCTGTTTTACAACGATGAGGGTTCAATTAAGGGCCCAGGAAGCGATAAATAAGCCTAGATAGATAGGTTTTGAAAATAACCAGAGGTTGCAGGCCTTAGGGCAGTCATCAAAGTTTGTCTATTGCATACTATGACAACCTATCAGCTACTTCTATGTTTCCTTGATCATATTATTTGTTGAGGTCAGCCAGCCATCACCACATACTCTGTATATTTTAGTTTGTAGGATTCAAAATTGGGTTTGTTACTTGGACTTGGCTACATGTCCGAGTGTCACACTGTATTTTCAAAATATACTGCTTGATTTTGGTTTGATCTAAAGGGTTTTGGCCCTTGGGGGAGATGGATTCAGTGTTGTTGCATGTTTTTCAGTGGTAGTAAAAGGACAGCATAAGAGGTGTTTGTAGCTAGTTGTCATCCATGGAGGAGATGAATTAAGGAGCTTTTGTTTTTACAATTTAAATTGTGGAGAAACAGGGTTTGGCATGGTGATCCTCTTTCAATTTTATGCTTTCTAGGGGAAAAGGGTTTTTGTGATGAACTGACTTCCAGGAAACGAATCAATTTTACTGCAACAATTAATGGGAAGGAAGGCTTAAAGCTTGATTGATTAAAGATAGGAAGGGTTACAATTGATAACTTGAGGCTATCACTCTCTCTAGTAGCTTGAGGCTACCACTCTCACAAGGTGTTTTCACTCAATTTCTGGATAACCCTCTAAATTACAGCTTACACTACTTATACTAAGGTGGTCATAGAAGACCTTGAAGCTTACATGTGATACATAGCTAAAATAGAAAGACATAAATTAGCACAAAGAAACTAAGTTGCTTTCTTTCCTTCTCTTCCTCTTAATTAATTTTTTCATCTTCTTAATTGGAGCTTGTATCCTCCCTAATTGGTGCTTGCTGCTGCTGATGCTTTTCCCCTTCATCTTGGTTGACCTGCCTTCTCCTTGTATAGACCTTGATGGAACTTGGTTGGACACCTTGACCTTGACCATGTGCATCCGTGACAATACCCCGCCCCAAAAGACTCACCTTGTCCTCAAGGTGGAAGTCCGGGAAGCGTTGATTCAATGACTCGACGTCTTCCCATGTCGCTTCAAATTCCGGCAATCCCTTCCATTTGACTAAGACTTCCCACCCGTTCCCTGTGCGTGCATTCTCTGGCGGAACTTCTAGAACTGATTCCAGCTCGACTACCAATTCCATGTCGTCAGTGAGTTGCTCTAGAATACTCGGATTGACTGCCGCCGCCCCTACCGCCCGTTTGAGCTGCGAAATATGGAACACGGGGTGTAGCTTACACGATGATGGCAGGTCCAATTTGTATGCAACCCTCCCCACCTTCTGAACCACCGTGTACGGCCCATAATACCTCGCTGCTAATTTTTCGAACGGCCGCTTCGCCAGAGACCGCTGTCGGTATGGTCGGAGCTTCAAATATACCGCCTCCCCTTCCTGAAACTCGTCGTCTGTTCTTCGCCGATCCGCAAACTCCTTCATTAGCTGTTGAGCTCTTACCAAATTGAGGCGTAATTCCTCAAGCACGAAGTCCCTCTCTCTTAAACCCTCCTCCAAACTACTGACCGGCGTCTGCCCCTAACCGCCACAATTTTGGTGGATCACGGCCATAGACAACCTTGAAGGGTGTCATCTTGGTCGATGTGTGCGGTGAGGTATTTTACGAATATTCTGCCCACGCTAACCACTTTGCCCACTGCCTCGGTTGCCCCTCTACAAAGCACCGGAGATATACCTCGAGCCCCTTGTTAACAATTTCCGTCTGGCCGTCCGTCTGTGGATGATAGGCCGTACTTCGCTTCAATTGAGTGCCTTGGAGTCTGAATAACTCTTTCCGGAAAATGCTCATAAATACTCGGTCACGATCCGAGACAATTGAAGACGGGAACCCGTGAAGTCGCACCACCTCTTTAATAAAGCAATCAGCCACTCGTAGCACATTAAAGGGGTGTTTTAATCCAATAAAATGGCTATACTTGGATAGTCGGTCCACCACCACTAGCACGGAATCGATTCCCTTGGACAAGGGTAGCCCCTCCACGAAATCCATGGAAAGATCCTCCCAAATTGCCCCCGGAATTGGGAGAGGTTGTAAGAGGCCGAGAGGGGGTGGCGTTGAGCCACCTTGTTCCGTTGACAAACTATACATTCGTGCACAAAATTCCCCACGTCCTTTCTGATTCCTTGCCAATACCAGTCTGCCGCGACTCGAATATAGGTCTTGACTTCTCTGTCGTGACCACCAGTGGGGGTGGCGTGGTACTCCCTCATCAGATATGAATTTTGAGTTTTTAGGGATCACGATTCTGCCTTTGTAGAGAAGCCTATTTCCTTCAAGTGTAAAGCCTGATAGACCCTCCCCATTTTCAAGGCCCTTCTTGACTTGGCCCAACCACATATCCTCTTCCAATTCTTTTTCCAGATCAGCCCAATTCACCCAAGTTGAAGATACTAGAGCAGCGAATTGGGCTTCTTGCACCTTCTGGCCCATTTCCCCGCCTAATCTGGACAGCGCATCTGCCACTCAGTTTGAGGCCCCGGGTTTGTATTGAACCTCGAAGTCGAATCCCACAAGCTTCCGCAACCACTTTTGATAGTCCCCCCTGACTTCTCGTTGTTGAGTGATGTACCGTAGACTTTGTTGGTCGGTTCTTACCACGAAATGACGGCCCATCAAGTAATGCTTCCAACGAACTATGGCTAGACAAATGGCCATAAGCTCCTTTTCATAAATGGATTTCTCTTGGGCCCTAACTCCCAACATCTTACTATAGTATGCTATGGGCCTGCCCATTTGCATGAGGACAGCCCCGAGCCCATAGCCCGATGCATCGGCTTCTACCACGAACTCTTTCTCAAAAGTCGGCATTGCTAGTACCGGGGCAGTAACCATAGCTTCTTTAAGTCGGTTGAAGGCTTGAGTGGCTTCATCGGTCCAACTATAACACTCTTTTTTGAGTTGGGCCGTGAGTGGGCCCGCTATGAGGGCATATTGGGCCACGAATTTTCGGTAGTACCCCGTGAGCCCAAGGAAGCCTCTAAGCTCTCTCAAGTTTCTTGGATAGGCCCACTTTAAGATTGCTTGCACCTTTTCCTTATCCATAGCCACACCATGATAAGAAATTACATGGCCCAAGTAAGCAATTTCTACTTGGCCAAATTCACATTTCTTCAAATTGGCGTACAACTTGTTTCCTGCCAAAATCCCAAACACTAACTCCAAGTGCCTTGTATCCTCCCTAATTGGTGCTTGCTGCTGCTGATGCTTTTCCTCTTCATCTTGGTTGACTTGCCTTCTCCTTGTATAAACCTTGATGGAACTTGGTTGGACACCTTGACCTTGACCATGTGCATCCGTGACAGTTTTCCCTTTTTTTTTTTGGGTTTTTCTATATAGTGCCCCTGAGGCATTGACTTTTCCAAGCTGTACCCACTTATTTTCAAAATTCTACGCTGTACCCTTAAGGTACTTTTAGTGTCTAAGATGTAACCCTACCCTAATCCCTCCGTTATCTTAAGTTAACTTTCCGTTAATTTCAAAATAAATAATTAAAAAAAAAAAAAAAAAAAACAACCACCTCTCTCTCCTCCCTCACAAGTCACAACTACCCACCAGCCACCACTACACCTCCACCTCCAGCCGCACCGCTGCACTTTCGATAATCCAGCCGCACCGCCGCACTCCCACTGCCTCTCTCTCCTCGACCGCCCAGCCTGCTGGAATACCAGCCACCCCAATCCCCTCCCGCACCGGAAAACCCACAACCTTACTCCAAACTGCTCCCTGCACTGCACCACACCAAAACAGACCAGCCGCATGAACCAGCAAACGCCACCGACCAACTTCTCCTCTCACCTCGGAATACCAACCACCCCAATCCCCTCCCGCACCACCGCAGCAGTCCCCCACCACCGCAACAATCAAACGACACCAAACCCTAAATTTTCCCCTAATTTGATTTTAATTGTTAAATCATCAATTTTGGTTCAATTAGATCGAGATTAAATACACAAAACTTGTTTTAATTGATTTTTCTAATGAAAATCTGCACGAATATAGTTTAATTGGTCAAGATTGTTCGAATTATGCCCAAATTTTTTCGAAAAATGGTCGAAAATCTGGAAAGAGAACGAAGGAAGGAGGAGGATGATGCGGTGGTGGGTCGAGGAGAGAGGGGCGAGACACTATGATGCGGTGGTGGAGCTGGAGGTGCGGCGGGAGGTGCGGTGGTGGTATTTGTGATGGAGGAAAGAGAGGTGTTTGGGTGTTTTTGGGTTTTTTTTTTTTTTAAAAAAAAAAATATTTATTTTGAAGTTAACGAAAAGTTAACTTAAGTTAACGGAGGGATTAGGGTAGGGTTACAGCGTAAACACCAAAGGTACCTTAGGGGTACAGCGTAGAATTTTGAAAATGGGTGGGCACAGCTTGGAAAAGTCAATACCTCAGGGGCACTGTATAGAAAAACCCTTTTTTTTTTTTTTCTTTTTATGGTTTTCTTATAGAATGGGAAGAGGTGAGGATGTCTCACAGATTTTTGAGTTGCTCCCAGTTCTAAGTATTGATTTATTACAATTATGTGTGACTGGAGTTGATAGACTCAAGAGGCTTATTTTGAGTTTTTTGTGTTTAAGGATAGTAATTTAGGGGAAGAGGGATCATTTTGTGTTGTGGAATAGTGTTTGTAGGTTTAAGGACGGGGATGGCCTCGGTTTCAAATATATTTGGTTCTTAGTGAGAAGCAATAGTACGATTATATGCTAAGGCCTAGTAGAGTAATCTGAAGGCTTGGTCAGATGTGATTACCGGATGTCAGATTGGCTATTTTGACCCTGTAATAGACTGAAAGTACTGCTAAATTACTCATACAAAATAACAGGAAAATGGAGAGAAAAAGATTGATTATTTGATTAAAAAGATTGATTATTTGATTAAAAAGATTGATTTTTACACCCTACTGGAGCAGCGACTTTAGGTTGCAAATCTCAAAGGTAGTTTGAGGATACAACTCTCCTAATAGTGACTTGAGGTCACAACTCTCAAAATGATTCATTCCAAATTCTGCCTACCTAAAGCTGAAGACTATTAACCGAATAATACTAGACTACCCATTGTTGCCCTTTCCTTAGGATAGTTTATTACAGACTCGAGGAAGTTGTTTCACTGCATTCATTTCTCTTTAATCTTCTTTACCTTGGTCAGATACAAGGGTAATAAAGAGCACATCGGGAGTATTCTTGAGCAGGATAGTGTCTTTTGGTTCCTTTTCTCCTCTCTTTCAGTTGACTCATCTTTGAATAAATATACTCCTAATAAACACCTTTGGGTGGGAAATAGTGAACCCTTGAAATTTCTTTTTAGAAGGAATCTCCATGATTGGAAACTCGCAAAACTTAGCAGCTTACTACCTTGTTGGGAATCCTTTAGACTGATTCCTGGGTTCCTTTTGTATCCACCTTCATAACACCAAATTGACAATCCTCCCCTTTTTCTCAATATATTTGAAAGGCGAAGGTTCCATAACTGGTGGGCTTTTAGTAGTGTTGCTTGTCTCAGAATTCTTAGTACTTGTGATGATCTGCAAGCAAACAGAACTCACCATCAGAACCATGTCTTATTAGAAATGCTCTGGTGTAGTAACTGCAGTTAACTTTGTTTTAGGTCATTTCCCTCCCCCCCCCAACACATCCTAACCACCCTTTTAGATTTGAGGTGTCCAAAACACTCCTGCATTAGTTGAATTAGAGCACTTTGTGGCTAGGTAGCCCGTGAGTTCCAAAAAAGTTGAAACATTATTCTGATAAATATGTCACCATGTTCGCAATTTCAGGTTTGCTTGATAATGTTTTGAGTGATTACTTGTGGGCCAAAGCTGTTCTTTTGACGACAACGACAGTGGCAACGGCGGGTCTCACAATTCAGGTGCCTTTGGCAGCTTTGGTTGATACTCTGGTGGGCAACGCTCCCAATGCAATGGACTACATTGGAGCTGCAGCTGTCATGGCTGGGTTTGCTGGCATCAATATTCCTTCAGATGTGTGTAGTCAGTCCGAGGAGGTTACCTTGGAGCTAGAAAACAGAACTCACCATCAGAACCATGTCTTATCAAACACCACAGAAGAACTTTAGGTTTCTCTTAGGATAACGCGATATCTGCCAGAGTTATGCTGAATACCATCCCGAGAAATGGTTCTACCACTCCATTGGAGGCAGATTTTTGCAAGATTTCAGCCAATGCTTGGCCATTATTGAACAGTTTCAACTTCTACTCAGAGTCCATTACACTTATACACTAGGTAGCCTTGTAACTATTTTTTGTGGATATAGTTCAATGACATATAGATGCTACTAAGAATTTTGTGAAATGTAAAAAGAAATATAAATATAACTAAGCCAGTGCTGGTTGATCTCCAAATTATTTACCTTGAATGTACTTGATTGGTTTGTGTGGCACAAAATGTGGTCACTATTCACTATGAAACTACAAAAATCAAAATTTTAACATTGGAATGATATTTGGGAGTTGGCTAAGATGGATTTGCCCTAAATCCAAATTTCACCCATTTGATAAATTAGAAAGAACACAATCCAACATTTGTAAAATTTTGAGTGAACAATTGGTTAAACTGCAATGAAAATATGAAATGGCAGATAACAATTGCTTATCTTTGAGTTCAAATATGAAATGCTTTATTGTCTCACATCAGAAGAAACTTGAGGTGGTTTTTTTTTTTTTTTTTTTTTTTTTTCGGGTAGAGTAATTACTAGAACAGATGCTTTATTGTCTCACATTCAGATAGTCAAATGTAAAATTGAATTGTCTTAGTCAACATACTTGTTCTAATAAATGGTATTCTGTTCTAGTTAGACTTCAGACTGAGTATCTTACTAAGTTGCTAGAATGCTTTTAATCAATTTTTCCTTGACCTGATTTGTTACAAAATTGTAGTACTTCATATTCGGCGACTAATTGAATTGTTTTTCTTGTGAGATAATTGATTATAATTTAGCGGAATTATAGCCACTCAAACTCCTTATAATTTAGAGGGTTGATAAATCTAACAAAGTTAAGTTTAGTTGATAAGTTTAATTAAATTCAAATAAGTTACATCTAAACATAAACTAGGAGTAAGTTCAGACAGTTTCATTTTCTAGGAATTTGAATTAAAGCATTATCAAAATGAGTAACCAATATCCAAAGCAATGTGTCAAATCAGTTAAATAGTATTAATACTACACTTCAACATGGGAAAAGCTATGTAGCAATCTATAATATAGATTTAATTAAGTTAAAATTTAAAATTAATCAATAAAATGATCATAAGATATTGTTTCTAAGACATTGCAACATTTAACTTTCCATATCTCTCCATCACTTTACGAGTTGCTAGAGCAGCAGCCTCACTTGCCCTCAAAGTCCCTGTTGCCATGAGAGCAGCGAATTCTCTGGTTATCTCCTCTTGCACTTTACCTCTGGCATCACCAAGAGGGTCTTCTGCTGGATCAGCCGATGTCTCTTGTGCTCCCGTTGGCTGAACAGCAGGAGGCACTTCTTTATCTAGAGTTTTCTGAGATGTGTTAGCTTCCTCCTTTTTGTTGGATTGCTCCTGAGATTTACTATTGCTCTCAGTTGCTTTGGCATACACATTTGAGGACTTGCTTTGACTGCTTGTAACACCTGTTGCGGCCTGTCCCAATGATGATGGTCTGAACTGAGGAGCTTGAGGAACCGCCCCTGCTTTCATTGTTGCCTCTAGTTGCTGAATCATAGGCACTGTGAACAAAGGTTGCAAAGTCCGTCAGCTTTGGTTATTAGGTAATAATTTTAAGAGCTATTGATATATAAACAAATATCAAGTATTGATAAATAAACAAATATCAACTATTGATATAATCATCCCACGATTTAGAACTTCAGCTTTGATAAATCAATATACTTCAATATCACAATAAAATCTCAGAAATATACCATAAATTCATTAGCCTACATTCAGAGGGATTCTAAGTATGAAAACAAGTCACAGAACTCCAAAATAACCAGATTAGTCTAGAATCAGCTTTGGATGAAATAATTTAAATGCAAACCATTTTGAAAAGACCTCAACAACAACGCCAAATTCAAGAAAAAGTCAATCAACAACAATAAAATTCATAAAGTTGTTAATACAAAACAGTGTAAATACACAAAGGAATGGTGAAGGACAGACTTGAGAAAAGAGGACGAATCAGCAAAAACAGTTAAGTTGATAACAGAAGAGGACACAGCAATGATATACAAGTCAATGTAATGAAATGACAACTTACATATCATAGCACCCATGGGGCTACTCATAACTTCATTAGGGAGCTGAAGAATATAATCTGGAATGGATGTTCCTACAAGAAATTGAGCAACCTCATTGCTGAAGTTGTTGCAATTGTGAGAAAGTAAACTGTAAGTTTCAGCAGTGTAACGATCACTGATTTCCTCCAGGTAACTTTCAAACACATCTTGTGGCAGATATGTGATCCCCAAGTCTACAACTTTCATTGGTGTCCCATATTGTGTTGATCCAGCAGGAGCATGTTGTATTCCTCCTCCAAAGAAGTACTCCTTACCATAAACAACAATTCCGGTGTGCCTGAAATTGAAAAAGTCCAAGTAAAAAAAGATATCCAGCCAGATTTCCTATATTGCACTTTAGATACATCAAAAGATTCAAAACAATCCCATCCATGGTATTTCTGCATTCTTTCATCCTAAATACTGCAGTGTGATACAGATGAAGGGCAAGTATAGTCTTTTCCCTCTGTAAGACATTATCTTCACAGTTTTAATTTTGGTCTGTTTTGAGATTTTTTACATTATATATATATATATATATATATATATATATATATATATATATATATATTATAGTACCTCTGTTTCATTTTATTTGCAACGATATGACATTCACCAAAATCTAGGTAAAGTTTGTTTGTGAAGGGTAAATGGACAGAGAAAAATAAAGCTGCATGTAATGAGGAGAGAGATAGAAATGAAAAGTAAAAAAGGAAAGAAAGCATTTGTTGCAAATAATTTGTAGTATCCATTTTAAGTAAATGTTGCAAATAAATTGAAACATGGGTAGTATATCATTTTTTCTGGCATAGTAAACAGTTTCTCTCTATCTCTTTCCTCATCACATGAGTTCCTTAAGAAGCATGAACATTGAAAAAGGTTCTTATCTATCTTAATCTCTTCTTTTGGAGTTTAATAAGTAATATCCTTGAAGATCTTCCCATCTCTCGTCTCATCACACCGGAAAGTCATTGGCAAGCAAAAGGAGAACTTCAAAGCCACCACAGATCACTACTTTTCACAAGTATTTTGTGGTCTACAACTAAAATGGTTCCTTGTTAATATGTTATGATAATTCCTCAGCTTATTATTAGTGAAAAATAGTAGTCTACAACTAAAATGGTTTCTTTCTTTTTTTGTTTTTTGAAAACACTAAAATGGTTTCTTGTAAAGCATGTTATGATATGATTCCTCTGCTTCTTATTAGTGGAAACATTTAGACTTTTGCACTATTCACATAAGGTAGTTTGACATCCTTTGTAATATACTATTATATATTTATAAAAACAGTCATGAAAGTTCTAGTTAGATTCATCTCAATCAGCAGAAAGTGTATTTTCTGAATATCTACAATTTATATTTTTTGCCTACTGTTGATAATTGAAGGTATTGATGTTTGAAGTCATGCATTGGAAAACCATGCCTACAACGTGTCAACTATTTTTTTTTTTTTTTTTTTGACACAAAACGTGTCAACTATTATGAAATAAAGAAAGCACTACTATATCCATTCTAAATAGAGCAGTTGCAAACCAAATAATACCTCCGTTACAGGTTATGTGCAAAGATTTGACATAAAGCAGAGAGGGAAAATGTCTAATCGTTGCACATAACCTGTAACGAAGGTAGTATTATAGTATCGCTTATTTACTGTGATTGATCCAAGTATACAACATATCACTTTTTTTTTGTTGAGAAATACAACATATCATATACCAAATAGCTTCAATGGCTTTCCCAAGAAAAGTGGTAGAAAGTTGACGAGCAAGTCCCTGGCTCAAGTCATAGACATGCAAAGTGACTCTGTGACCCTCCTGTAAGCATGACAAGTAAACAACAAGATCAGCACCATCCTATTGCTTGAAAATTATTACATTAATAATACTAAGCAAGAAGTGTATTTCATAGGTTGATGCCTTACTTCAGCCATCCTCAAAAAAAAATCACCAACCAGAATAATCAGCCCTGAAAAAAAGACCAAAAAAATTCCTTTTATCAAAGCTGCATAAGGCTCGAGCAACATCAAACTAAAAAGAAGCTAGCCAAAAGCCAAACTACTGCTTCACATAACCAAACCAAAAAAAAAAAAATTAAAAAAAAACACATTGATAATATTTTAAGGACAAATACTATGGATTGCCAAGAAATTAGGTTTTTGTATAGTTAAAAAAATATATAACATGACTCGAAAAGACAATGACCCATAGGTTTGCAGATTAGGGGGAAAAAATCACTTTCAAATGAAAACAAACACTGGACATACTAGTATAACAACATAAGTCATTCAGTACTACAAAACCCAAATGGCAAATGCAACAGGCACTCTACAATATGCAGACTGATTGTCTGCATAACAATCGACACAACTAAAGAACTAAAGAGTTGTGTCTCCACTTAAATCCCATTCAAGAATTGATTTCATATACCCAAAAGAAGAAATTGCCAGCATTTAAGATCTTCACTCCATATTTTAGGCACAAATGTCTCAAAGACCTCCTATGATGTACTCCCATTATGAATCTGTTATGAGAGAGCCAATCACTAAAAAGTACTCTTATTGCGAGAGACCCAATTACCAGGGAACTCTTATGAAGCAAGCACAATAAAGACATCTTATGCCTTATGAAAACCAAATCAGAAGTTAAACCAACCACTAGCATCCAGTAGCATCATAATACACCATAGACCTTCAAATCTGATAAATCATAGTATAGTCTGTCAATAAGCTTCTGAACTACCAAAATGATAGGAGACCAAAACTTAAGACTAGAACCAATTATAAGGACTACATTCATCCAATATTCTCTCTTTCAAACAAGGTTAAGATATTTTTAATAAATACTAATATCCTCCCATCTCCAGTGAATCAATCATAATGAGTGAAAATCAATGATGCTTCAATTCAATTATCCCAAAAGTATGCTGTGTGAAAAATGATAAAAGTGCAAGGACAAGAGCATTGGATTTTTGCTGCTCCAATGCTCCACATACGGCAATTGGAACTTTGGAAACTAGACATGCATGTGTGGTTGAAAAAACTTCAAACCTGGGAGAAAAAAGTGGCATCTGAGATAAGTTATAATAGGCCACTTTCCTCCAGAATTTGTTTGGTTTGAAGATGGGAGGAAGACAGCTAGATCAGGAGTAAGGTGGCTTATTGTTTCCTGGCTATGCATAACGCCATAGGTCAAGTAGCCTTGACGAGGAAGGAGCAGTGACCGGGCCAAAAACACTAGACTTCATCAAGCATTAGTAGATAAAGACATCTAATGGTAGAGAAGAAATACGTGACAAACAGCCTGTAAACCACCATTGACAACAACACGAAACATATGACTAAGGCTGGCAGCTAAACGGATGAAAGCAATGTGGTTCTGAGAAAGATGTTACGCAACACGAAGCAAACAAAGGATATGGGAAGCCAGAAAATTCAATAGCTATTACTCTGAATAAGATTACTTTAGCCTTGTGAAAGGCTAAAAGGTGAGATTGTCCTAATACTTCAACTTCCTATAACACAATAGACAGGGTCTTTGGCAAAAAAGTTCATCTTTCTAACTTAATCATTTGTTTACAGAAACGACATTGCTACCACTTAATCTAGCAAGATTGCGACTTTAAAGCTTCATACTACTCATAACAAATAACATTATCAATCAAAGCATCAAGCAAGTTCAGAATTTCCAGCAATTCAAAATTCTGCTCACCAAACACAGTATTCAATCCTAACTCTTACAAACCTAAGAGTGAAACAATTCACAGTTCTACTCTGGCCTAGGAACAACCGACAACCAAACATTAGTACCACAAACTCAATTCAACCAATGTCGGTACTAGCAGCGTGCATCCATATGTCAATCCCCTAAATTATCATTATCAGATCTACAATACTCGTAATCCGTAAAATCAGCAGCTACCATTACAACAATGCTCTTTACAAAAACACTGATCACATTGTATTCAATATCGTACACCATAAAAACCCAAAATCATTCACCTAAAACAAGCAAATTGTACTAATATAAAGGAACTCAAAATCGAGCAATTTCATCCCAATTCTCAAAAAAATCAATGATGAAAAAATCAAACTAATTATCCAGCTTCAATTAACTCCAAAAAAATTCAAAACTTTTGATTAAACGCATATCAAAACAATTAAGCACAGATCGATCGCAACTTGCAATGAAAAAAACAATTCCCTAAATATTCAATCAATCAATATCAAATCATTGAAGCAAACCCTAATTTCAATTAAATTTGTAAAAAGAGAGAGGGATTTACCAGAACAAGCGTTAGTTGGAAAGGAGCGAGAAAGTCGTAAGAATGCACCGCAATTTGTAAATCGGATTTTAATTTGAAAGCAATTTGGGGTTATATAGTTAGTGCGAGGGAAAGTTTAGTGTGTGGGTTTCTCCCATATTCTGTGACATTCTAGAAAGTACCTGACCACTTCCTTTTCGACACGTGTTATGTGCTGTTCGAATGTTAACCACGGGAAAATTCTTCGATGTGTTTTTTATGTTTTTTGTTGCAAGGAAAATTCTTGAATTGGCGCGTATTTTTTTGACATTCCTCTTCTACTTCACTACTTGTAATGTTTAGCATGTGTTTAAGACTATGAAGTAATTCAGTTTGTCTTGTGATTAGTGTCTTAATATAGGCGAAGTAATAATGTGTGTATGAGATAATGAGATTTGAGCTCATGACCTTTAAGTTACGAGGTCAAGCCATTAGTTCATTATCATTAGGCTAAGTTTTTAATTTGTTTGCTATGAATGTTTGGGTGTTGTTGATGTTAAGTGTACATCATTGGGTGTTTATAACTTGTATTGCAATGTATCAAATCAAATGTAATACCGAGTGATCATAAAAGTCAATTGTGGTAGGAAAGTAAAAGGTTCATAGCCAAGTTCTTACTATATAGTGGTTAATTTGATATAAATTGTGACTTTAATTTGACTTATATTGACATTCAATTTTGAATTAATGAACAATGTTATATTGTGTGAGTCACATCTCACTAAGATTATGATGAAATGCATATAAGTTTTATATGGAGCAAATGTATTTTGACATATGAAACATTGTGTATAAAATACTCTGTAATTATCAGGTTTAGATATAAGCTTTACAGCATTCAACGTCGTTTTTGAACATTTTAATTTTAAGAATTAAGATATTTCGAACAAGTAATTGAAATTATATATCAGTGTTTAAATTTTAATTTTTTTTTTTTTGACATGTCATATAAGTTTTATACATGATGCTTGGATTTTTGGAATTTAGATACTTGTATTTTACAGGGTTTTTAACTTTTTATCAAGCTAGTAAAAAAAGTTTTTTAAAAAAAAAACCGTCTTAATTTTGCCAATTCAATTAATAAATATAGAGTATGATCTTAAAATAATTATGAGGGAATCAAACCAAGTTATACTCCAGCAACTAATGTACTTGTATTTGTTCCACTACAAGCTAAGAGAATTTACAAATATACTTAGCACGGTGCACCAGCAACTAAATATTGCAAATAATTGTTAACGGGGGTAGTATTTAGTCATTTTAATGATTATTATTCATTAATTGAGCACCCTTCGATACAACTTGAACCCGGGTAGATGTAAAGATCTTCACTACTAGTTGCAAGAGAGGTATTAATAGATCTTTGTTAGTGGGAAGCATAACCCATTTACTCCCATCATTTTATCTAACAAAAATATTACCTCAAAAAAAAAGAAAATAAAATAAAATAAAAAGGTCAATATAGATTGAACCCCCATAGAGAAGCATACAATCATGGCCGTGGGGCATATGCAAAGTACATATCTCAACTGTAAAGAGCTATGGTTGGTCTTTCTTTTTCTCATCCTTCATTTTTTACTCCGTAATTATTCAGATTGGTGTGTATTTTTTTTTTTTTTAGTTCTGTGTCTCGTGTTTACAAAATTATTGCACATTGCCTTTTTACTATGTACTACTGTATGTAGTTATATATATAAATATGTAAAAATAAATAAATTAAATGAAGTACTAGTTTAATATAAATAAAAGTTGCAAATAATATAGTAAACACATATGTTAATTTGTAAATATTAAGGGTTTGTTCTAATTGTCTAAACTGAGCTGAACTAAACTAAACTTATTAGAGCTGAACTGAACTGATTGAATTGAACTTATTAGAATTGAATTGAACTGAACTAAACTGAATATTTTATAAGAGAAGGAAATTAAGAGGTAAACTGAACTGAACTGAACTTATTAAAGCTGAACTGAACTGAAAATAATTGTATCAGAACTGGCCCTAAATGAAACAAAATGTTAACTTTTTTAATTTGAAATTTGTGGGTACAATCTCTAATTGATCCCCTAATTTGACCTCCACTTTGACTTTAATTGAGTCATGCGCAGACTGACTTGAATTCTTGATTGATGGTCGTCAAGGCTTGATCTCAATCGAATATAGTTGATGCAAGATTTTAATTTGCATCACGCATTGACTTGATTTCTTGATTAGGGTCATCAACGCTTAATCTCGAGAAGATATTTGACGTAGAGGCACGAGCTTATGGTGTGCTTAATGTTTTGAAGTTATTCTTTTCTCCTTTGCTGAGGCCCGCTAAGGCTAGATCTCATATAAGGATTGTTCTTCTTTTTTCATGTTAAGGGTCGTCGAGACTTGAATTCTTCTTTTTCATGTTAAGGGTCGTCGAGACTTGATCTCGTCTACGATTGATCTTCTAGATTAGAATGCCACATCAAATGCTTGATTTTCTTCTTCTAGGCCTTCAGAGGTTTTTTGTAAGGAGGTGTAGGGTTTTGAGAAACTTTCTTTGTTTTATGATGTAGCCTCCTTAGCTTGTTTCCTTCTCCTTATCAAATGGAGTAGAGAGCTCTATATGTTTATACAATAAGTGGCTCCTAGGGTTAAGGTTTAATGTGTAATGGGGTTTTGACTTGGTAATCATGGTCCATCTATTATAGTTTAACCCATTCTATAGGTTTTAACTATTAAAGTAAATGGACTTAACTAAAATGGACTAATTTAATATATTTTACCCAAAGTCAATTAACATTGAGCCAATAATTTGACTTTTGATGACCAAAATCAAATCTAACGTGGCACATGTACAAATTTTATGTGCCTGACCAAATCTCAGTCGCCCCTCAATTTTTTTAATCCAATGTTTGAGGGCTAGAAACTTGGTCTTTGAGGGTGAGGGAAAAGGAAGGGATTCTCACCCCCAAGTACCGCAATCGAGAGAACTCAACCTTGTAAACTTAGCTTGTAAATTAATCACCAAAACTAAAATGAAAAGGTTACAAAATATTGGATGAAATAAGTCATGAAAAGACCATGCGATCCTTGTTCTAAAAAGTTACTTATAGTTGAAGAAATATTGTACAAAACGTGAGGGTTTCTCTCTCGAGTCATGCCTAGATTTGCGTGCAAATAATCCACCATTATATTGCCTTAATAAACAAATATAATCTTCACCCTTCACCCGTCAACTTATCCCACTATCTTACTCCATATATTTAATTCACTTTTCTAAAATTGTTTATAGATCACAGATGAAGACGAATTATTATTATTATTATTATTATTATTATTATTATTATTATTATTATTATTTATTTATTTATCTTTGTAGGGTGGGGAGATAAGGATCCTAACCACACTTTAACCCTCACGATTTTTTTGTCTAGTATTTGCGAGTTAGACTCATGAGAAGTTGGGATAGAGTGAGGATGAAGGATAAGAGATCATCATCCTGGCCTCAAGTATTGCAGCTGACGGAATTTAACCTTGTAAACTTGTGAATTCCTCAACAATAGAAAAAACATAAATCCTTACCCAATAAAAGCACCAACACACAAAAAATTGGGGTTCCTTATGAACAGTGTTCAGACCAAATTACCCCTGTATTTGTGCTGGCATTTCCTTATCTACAGTGCTGTGACTGATTTGCCCTCAAAAAAACCGTGTGCATCATTGCTGCCAATTCACTGACCACGTGTAGGGATGGGTGACAACGTGTCTGAGAATATATGACAAGGTGGGTGATTAAAGTTATCATCTTTGCTTAATTTCTGGACACTTATGCATCGCATTAAAGCAGCTGAACATGTAGGAATTCATTTGACATTGTTTTTTATTGCTGATGCATTGATTCAATTAGAGCTTAATTTGTGATTTGCATGAATAATGTAAGGCTAATTTCCCATTGTTTCTGATTGCATATGCATTAATTCGATGTTCATGGTGCAGTTATTGGTTTCCACTTCTAAGGTATTGTTTAGTTTGGTCTTAGAAATTAGCATTGCACATTTAGCTGATTATATTATGTTTGTTGTAAGTGATTAGTGGTTAGAGGGTGGCGATCAATTTCAGTGATTTGTTTGTTTAGCTGATTAATTTATGCTTACAGTTATTTCTTCGTTTAGATATTAATTTATGCACCTTTGTGGGATTTACAACAATTCAGGCATTGGGAAAATGGATTTGGGAGGACTAAATTGTTTGATCCTTTTTATGGTGAGCCTCTTAGTTATCCGTTGGTCTATTGTTTTGCATGTTGTGTGAGAGGGTTTCTCTTTTACAGCTTTTGCTCAAGCTTTGGGAAGTGGGATTAAGGTTTCAAAAGAGATTAAGCTACTGTTTGGTTAGCTCAAGTGTTGGGAAGTACGGTTAAGGTTTTTTAGTTTTAAAAGGATTAATTTGCTGTTTGGTTTTCAAATCAAAATAAAATCACTTTTATTTCTGCTTGCAGCTGCTGCTCAAGTTTTGGGAAGTGGGATTAAGGTATGTAATAAAAAGATTACTTTGATATTTTTTGAAATAAGCAAATTGTTAACTTTTTCCTGATTGTGAAGTAGATTAGATTTGGGTGTCATAATTACTTTATTTGATTTTTGGCTTAGGCCTTTCACACACTTTTTGGCTTTTACAGCTGTTTCTTTTATGCTGGTTGCAGCTCAGCTTTTTACCCAGTGGTTTTTAGATGGTGAACCTTATTATCTATCGGTCTAGCACTTTTCATACCAATGGGTAAATGTTTTCCTCTTTTAAGCCAATACTGATACATGGCTCATTGAATTACCTGTTGTGTATGGCTTAGTTTGTTTGCATTTGTTTGTCTTCTACTGCTTTGTGTTTGCATAAATTAAGGATACAAGCCAGTTCATCTGGTTTTCCTCATCCTCATTGCAACAAAAAAAAAAAAAAAAAAAAAAAAAAAAACTACACACACCCCAGCATAGTCCCATGGAGGTTACATTAGAGGTAATCATGAAATTGGATAGAGGCTTCTTTGCTATAGTAACAACAGTGCACCTCTGGAAAACTAATCTTTGATATTACTGACCATGAACACAGAACATATATGAACTTGCTTCAAGGATTTCTTCATAATCATGACATTTTTAAACTTGACAAATTGATTACATTGTTTAAATTAACTTGGCATGGTTAAATTGGTGGCCATTGTTAAAATTAAATAGCTTATGTACACACAACATTTTACCAAATTGGTTGCTTAACAAACTTTGTGTGATTTATTCAACAGCAGTTAGTTTAAGTATAATCTATATATTAGTGATGAAGTAAAGATTTAGTTACATTTGTTTTGGTAAAGGTTGGCTAATTAGCCTGCCATTTTTTTGTGTGGCCTGACCTGTCTTTTTAAGTGTTCTTTGGTTCACAGTTAGTGTGGAATCTGGAATTGGTTACATGGGCTGGCTTAAGCTCTGGTTTACATCTTTTTGTTGTTGATGATAAATCATGCAATTGTGATTGTAATAGGGATCAGTTTTTGGTGAAGGTATTGGACATTAATTTTGCTTTTTGCCGTTTCTATTGCAGAGTTATGAGCTTGCGATGGGTGGAGGTGCTAGCTCTGCTGTAAGTACTCCATTATTTACAGCTATGTTGATTTGCTGCATTTTTTTTGGGGGGGGGGGTTTGAAGAATCGCATTGCATTGCTGTTTTTGTTCAGTGTTGGTTTGGATGGTTTTAGTTAGTATGTAATGATTTTGTTGTGTTCTTTATATCATGTGTTACATGCTTTGGTAGGTTAGTTTGGTTCTTTTGTATGGTATATATGTTTGGTTGCCTTTTTAAAGGGCCAGCTATGTTGATTTGTTGTTTTGTGTGTTATGTGTAGCGTGCCTGGGTAAGTTGCTTACATTAGTTAGTATAAGGTGAGTGTTTTGTTATTTTAAATGGGGTATGTTCTGTTAAATGCATAGTTATGTTTGAAGGTGATCTGTTGCATGCTTTAGTAACCAGCCTTGTTGTTCTTTTGTGATGTAATTGCATGGGCTATTTAGATAGCTTTGTTGTGTGCCATGGATTTAGCCTTGCCTTTGTCTGTGTCTTCCAACAACACATGTTTCACTACCTTACACCTGTAGCTCAAGTGATAAGATGTCGCTACACCAGTGTTAGCTGCAAAAGCACTTTTCTTATGCTATGGTATGCACACAGGTGGCTGGTCCTGAAACTCGAAAAGTGTCTATTTCTTTTTCCTGCCTGCTCCAGCAAGTTGTAGAGTATCTGAAAATTCCTCAGCCGGCTTACTACTTGGTTGATGCGAGAAAGAATGATGTGAAGCTTGTCTTGGAGACTGACCCAGGTTTGGGCTTCTATGTGTATGAGGGTGGTCCAGCTAAAACAGTAGCAGAATCGCGTGAAATAGCTGCTGAAAAAGGCGTTCTTTCACTTAGGATGGAGTACAACATTCAGGTTGAAGACTTGACTTCTAAGAAAATTAAGAAGCTCCAGTGTTGTGAATTTCTCTATCAGATGAAACGCATTGAGCTCGAGTCAATGGAAAGGGAGGCAGGGAAAGTGCCAGTCAAGTGGCCAGATGTGCCAAACCACAAGCGCTGCAAGAAATATGTGTGCATTGATTACATGGATGTTCTGCGTATTCTAACTGTGGAGACTAAAGCGCGTGTTTCGGCAGTTAACACTTTCAAGATAGGACCAGAAAAGTTTATTTCGTGGCTTACGATTTACGCTCCTCCAATTGCTACTGGAATGGAATGCATTTTTAGTGGTGCTCGTGCTGACTGCAATGCTACCAAACAAGAGGCTGCTAAGAGGGCTGTAGATTTTCTGCGCACTGCATACAATCTTGACATAGTGGATTTGAACTATGGCAATGGGGTTTATGCTGGTATTAAGTGTTCCTTGGCTAGGGAAAGCTACTTAGCAGCTAAAGAACGTGTATTGGGGATTCAAGGTGCTTTGCACTTAGCTCCTTTTTTAGGTGAAGATGGTTGCATAACACCTAAGTCTGCTGTGCACAGGATTCCAACACCTGCTCTTCCTCCACCTCCACCTCAGAAGCCAAAAGCTAGGCCATCTTTTGGTGACCGCTTCAGTCGGAAGCCATTTGCAGTGCCTCCTGAGTTGGACACCTTATTTAAGCGGAGGAAGTTTGATTAGGGATCATAGTGGAGTCACATAAGACCTTGTTTTGCTGGCTTACATGTTTTGTTTCGTGTGTTCGTGTAGGCCCTTAGATATGGCATATTAGCTTAGTGTGCTGCTTGTATTTCAGCTTATTTTGTACTGCTTTATGTGTTAGTTTTATTGGCAAGTCATGGTGGGTGTTTTCCCAGAATATAATGTACTCCAGCCTTTTGAGCTTTGATTAATGAAGTCCTATTTTCTTGTCATTGCTCATTTTTCTATGAAAATTCTTGCTGTATTGTTAAGCATGCTTTTTTATATGCACAACATGGTTAGCCATTAGATTTTTGAAATTTGATCAGTGTGCAATTTTTCCCTTGACAGGTTATACTAGCTGCAAATGCATTGTTACACTGTTCCATTTATTGAAAGATTCTGCAGTGCCTATTTGCAAATTCTTGTTGTCAGTAGCTCAGTTTATATTACCACCATGCGTACATACAAGTTCCTTTACTTGTTATATTTGTCCCCCATGCTATTCAAAGCACCTTATAAATTATCTATTGCTATTAAGCTGCAATCATTTTATTTTGTTCTTTTAAAATGAAAATACTTTGTTGGTATCCAGATCGTGCTTTGCTTCAAAAAAAACCGTTGCAAAAAACTCGGGTTAGCAAACGTTTATAGATGATACAAGCTATGTCTCAAACCCCTGCTCCTATGAGGTGTTAGCTTGTGTTTCTTATCACATGTTCAGAAAAAGTTTTTGTTATTCAGAATTTTTAGGTTTTTGCTTGTTCTTAGCAAGTGTTTCTTATCATTCAATATAGGGAAATGGATGGGGCAAGTTCTGCCACACATCAGCAGCAAGAGGCTGGACAGATTGAGCCTAAAATTGCTTATGTAGGGAATGTTACCAACATAGTGGTTGCAAATTCAGCAACACAGTTTAATAGTAAGCAAAATTGTTTTTATTTGCTATTTGCATTATTTTGGCAAAATTCACTGAGTGAGGTTAGAAGATGAGCTAGCTAAAACAACTATGAAAGCTGCCTGTGTTTGGATAGCATTAGGGTCAGGTTTATTCTAGCTTGGATTATTTAGCTATGCATTTGAATGGCAAATTTTTCATTTACAGGCCCACAGCTTTTGCCTGCTGATTCAGCTGTAGCTAACATCCCAGGATGTGAGAACAGATATTAGCATTGCTCCCTCAGACCAGTTCATGTTGTATAGGCAACTTCCTGAGAATTCAAGGTCTAGCAAACGTAAGCGAGCACTTGCAGCTATGGAACAAGAGCCTGTGTTAGTGAGGTGCTTTTACTTTTTTTAAACCACAAGAACACATGCCTTGCTATATTTCTGTGTTTCTGCTGATATTGGTGTTATGTTGTTTTCCCGTTGGCTATACAGAGAAATAGGTGAAACAAGTGCACAGGGTAGTAAAAAAAACCAGGGAACAAAACAAACAAAGGCAAAAAACAACAGTAAGACTTCCTTAAATCAATCCTTGTTCTTTAAAGCTTCTTTGCCCATTTGAAATCAGATTAAAGGCCAGATATATTTGAGAAATTTAGCATTATAGTAAATGTAACCATTACCTGCTGTTAGCTAGCAGCCTAAGCATTTACAACACTTTAACCTATCACCAAAACCAGTAGGTCTTATCTGACATCACATTGTCTTTGTCCTCTTCACTTTCAATCTTCTCAGCATCCTCATTGTGCTTAGGCGCCACTTGATCCTTAGAAGCATCAGATATCATGGCTGCACTATCATCAGGGACATCTTCATTATTCTTCTTAGTTTTTTTCCCTTCATTACAGGTTTGCATTCCTTCAATTTCAATGGACACTTCAGCTAACTCCTTTTCTATCTTCACAACTCTCTTTCCCACTTCAAAATGAATTGCTCTTGCATCTGCTAATTGGCCCTGTAAATTAGCCTTTATAAGTTGAAGATGCTCCAGCTTGGACTGCATGTTACGTTTTTTAGACATAGAAAAATGGTTAGAAAACATGTTTTGATTTTCTGCCATGATCAATTGTGAACTCAGATAGAAATGGATGTAAAAACCTTTCATATATATAAAAAAAAAGATGCACCAGTATGCAGTTCAGCTAAGCAGGCCTAATATACTATAGGTAATACACAGTGTGTAAGTGTTATAGATGAATAAATGCTCCCTTTCCCACCACAGCTTTTATAGAAGCATTAAAAGAAAAAACTTGCTCAGTTATATGAGACAGATTAAGTGAATTTTATGTCATACCTGATTACATTAGACCAATTTAACCACTAAATGTTTAGTTCTGTTATAACTTAACATGTAATTTTCATATGACAGAGAAAACTACTGCAGCTTCTCAAAAGAAGGTGGTCAAGCAAGCTACAGTTAAAAAGCCCAGTAAGTTTTCCTATGCGTATTTTACTATTTTATTTGCTTATTTTTTGCAATGTACCATGCTGATAAATTGGCTTGGCATGCTTGGTTGAATATCAGAACCTCCAACAGCTGTAGTTGGCTTAAAATTGCCTGCCACACCTTTGAAACTGAAATCCCCTTCCGTTTGCCCACATTGCTGTGTAAAAAAATTTGAACATGAATCACTTCATTTCTGTTGTGGAAATGGATCTGTTAAACTAGCCACTAATGAATACCCCCCTGCACTATATAGACTTTAACCATCTGATGAGGAAGATGCATCACACTTTAGACAATACATTCGATTATATAACAACTTATTTGAATTTAGCTCATTAGGTGGTAAATATGATGGCAGCATACATAAAGGAATATATGTTTTTAAATTGCATGGACAAATTTACCATAACTTGCCTGATTTAATCCCTGATGAACAAGGCCCTAGATATTTACAGCTCTATTTTTATGATGGCCAATTTGAATCAACTGCTAGAGCATATTGCTTTAAACAAGTCAGGCAAGATATTATAGACATACTTATGGAGGTATCTGCTCAAAATCCTTACGCTCGCCTTTTCAAATCATTAAAAGAGCTTGACATTCAAGAAGATACACAAATTACTATCAATAAAAACACCGTTTTAGACCAGCAGGTTTATAATGCACCCACAATAGATGAAGTGGCTGCGATTTGGCCTGACAACAATTCATCAAGCGCGTCCAATGGCCCATACATCACTATCAGAGGAAAGTCAACAGATTCTCATCGCATATACCATAATTATGGATGTTATGATCCCTTGCAGTATCCACTCTTATTCCCGCATGGTGATTGTGGCTGGGGTCAGGGTCTGGCCAAGGACAGTGGTACAGGACAGCAGGAAACAGACCCCATTACATCTTCAGTAGTGCATACAGAGGAAGATGTCCTTGCACAGGAAGCTAGCCGTAAGTTTCATCTGCCTTGAGTTTTATTACAAAGTGTCTCATTTTATGCTACTGTTGACACAAATCATGCTTCTGTAAATGCAAGCTTAGCGGACGCAGGTGGTGCTTCAGTCCGGCATATTTCTGCCCGTGAGTACTATGCTTACAAACTGCAATGCCGCCCAAACAATATGCTCCTGCGTGCAGGCCGATGTTTGCAGCAATATATAGTTGACATGTATGTGAAGATTGAGAACACTCGCCTAGTCTACTTTCGCCACAACCAACAAACAATCAAAGCTGATTTGTATCAGGGGATTTTGGATTCCATTGAAAGTGGTGAAACAAATCCCATAAATGTAGGACGGTGAGTTATTTTACCCCCCACTTTTATTGGTGGTCCGCGAGACATGAAGCGGCGATACCTCAATGCCATGGCTTTGGTTCAACGCTTTGGCAAGCCTGATTTGTTTCTCACAATCACTTGTAATGCAAACTGGCCAGAGATCAAGGCAGAACTAGCTCCTGGAGAAACAGCTCAGAACCGGCCAGATCGTGTTGCCCGTATATTTCGATCGAAATTAATCTGTCTGAAAAAACAAATCATGAAGAAGCATATTTTTGGGAAAGTGGCTGCTATGATATATGTCATTGAATTTCAAAAAAGAGGTCTTCCTCATGCACATTTCCTTATTATCCTGAAGCCTGATTACAAATTGAAAACATCTTCTGATTTTGATCGTTTTGTCTTTGCTGAGCTACCACCCCACAACTCCCCAGATCTACGAAAAATAATAGTACGCCATATGATTCATGGCCCCTGTGGAGAAGCAAACCCTACATGTCTATGTATGGTTGCCAAAAATAATAACTCTGTCTCATGCAAATATGGCTACCCAAAACAATTCTATGAAGAAACAACAAACCATGATGATGGATATCCAGTGTACAAGAGACGAGATACAGGAGAAAGTGTCCGAATTCGAGGTTCAAACCTTGATAATCGTTGGGTTATTCCATACAATCCATACCTTTCCGCGTTGTTTGACTGTCATCTCAATGTAGAAGTCTGCTCATCTATTCAGGTTGTTAAGTACTTATACAAATATGTTTACAAAGGGCATGACAGAGTATCTTTTAATGTTGTTGGTGAAGAAAATCAGGCCGTTGATGAAATTCAAAGGTTCCAGTCTGGTCGATGGGTTTCACCATGTGAGGCAGCTTGGAGGATTTTCGGCTTTGACTTATTTGAGATGCACCCCCCTGTGCAGCACCTAGTGCACTTGGAAAACATGCAAACAGTTCAGCTAAGGAGTCATGAGCAACTTGATTCTGCAGTGTTAAATGAAAGAAGATCCAGAACTCAACTAACAGAATTCTTCAAAGCAAATGCAGCCTCACCTCAAGGTACAGGATATCTCTGTAGTGAATTCATTGAATATTACAGGTGGGATGCCACTGCAAAGGCATGGTTTCAGAGACAAAACAAGAAACTGGTCATAGGTCGGCTGGCATGCTTACACCTGCAGAAGGAGAACGCTTCTTTTTACGGCTGCTTCTTAGCAATGTACGCAGTCCCAAATCGTTTCCTGACCTCCGGACTGTGAATGGAGTGCTATGTGCCACTTTTCATGAAGCAGCTATTAAAAGAGGGCTATTTGAAGAAGACAATGTTGTTTATTCCTGTTTGTCTGAAGCTGCAGAAATTCATATGCCAGGAGCCTTACGTCGACTATTTGCAGCTGTGTTGGTTTTTTGCGCTCCGAGCAATCCACGTACACTATGGCAGCACTTCTATAATGATTTATCTAATGACTTTAGTCATACCTTTCCATAAAATGTAAGCCAGGTTTTGCTGCTAACAATACAGTCAGTTGAGAAACACTTAGAGTCTATGGGCAAGTCATTGTCTCATTTTCAGCTTGAACATCTACAAGAAGAAATGCCAGAAGAACTACAGAGAACAAAGGATATTATTGATGCTTTGGATGCACCTATTCCTCAAGAATAAATTGATTGTAGAGATAAACTCAATTCAGCTCAGCAAATTGCCTTTGACAAAATTATTTCTCACGTTCAAGCAGAAAAGCCTGGTTGTTTCTTTGTTGATGGCCCTGGAGAGACTGGAAAGACCTTTTTGTATAATTCTCTATACGCAGAAGTGCGCTTGGCAGGGAAGATTGTGCTTCCAACGGCAACATCAGGAATAGCTGCAGCAAATATACCTTCTGGCAGGACAGCACATTCACGGTTTAAAATTCCACTTGATTCGGAAACATCGCTCGCATGTGATGTTCCTAAACAAGGCAGCTTGGCTGCTTTGATTAAAGAAACAACATTGATTATCTGGGATGAAGCTTCAATGGCAAGGAAGGAGAACATTGAGTCTATTGAGCTCCTACTCCGTGATCTCTGTGATCCAGATCAGCCATTTGGTGGAAAAGTTATAGTCTTCGGTGGAGATTTCAGGCAGGTTTTACCAGTTGTTCCTCACAAGATTCAAAGAGAAGCTGTTGCAACAAGCCTGGTTAATTCACATATTTGGCCTTGGTTACAAAATTTACATCTGACTAAAAACATTAGAGCTAAAGCAGATCCCCCATATGCATCATTTTTGCTGAGTTTGGGAAATGTTCAGCTTCAGGCAACTGAGAATGCTTTTGTGGAAGTTCCTCCTCACATTGTGAATTATTATCAACAAGCCGAGGAACCTATTGATTATCTAGTTGATGCTGCTGCTTTCCCTGAATTGCAACAACCTGCCTTTACACCGGATATTTTCACAGAAAGGGCAATCCTAACCCCATTAAATGATGCAGTTGACTCAATCAACAACTTTCTGATTGACAAGTTCCCAGGAGAAGCAGTTGTTTATAGAAGTTTTGACAGTATCCTAGATGATAGTTGTGCAATATACCCAGCAGAATTCTTGAACCAGCTTGCCCCGAGTGGTATGACACCACACGAGCTAGTCCTAAAAGTTAACAGCCCAGTGATCTTGCTGAGGAATATTGATCCTGCCGATGGCCTATGCAATGGCACACGTCTCATATGCAAGTATTTCAGAAGAAATGTTATTGTTTGTTCAATAGCAATTGGTCATCGTAAAGGAGAGCTTGTATTCATCCATCGTGTGAACCTTCGGCCTCCATCATCAGCAAAATATCCGATTCAGTTTGAGCGAATCCAATTTCCTCTAAAACTCAGTTTTGCAAGGACTATCAACAAATCTCAAGGACAAACACTAAGCCAAGTCATGGTTTATCTCCCACAACCATGCTTCTCACATGGTCAATTGTATGTTGCATTGTCAAGGGCTAAGAAATCGGAAAAAGTGACTGTGATCACACCCCAGCCTACTGAAATTCACAGCACACCAGTTCTGAAAAACATTGTGGCTTATGATGTCTTGCGACTATCTGGCATAACATGATACAATATGATGCAGGTATTTCTAAGATTGCTTCTATAATTATTCATTGAAACAAACTCCTTTTTCTTTCTGTTAATTTTATTTTACTATCTTATTATGCAGGTCTGATGTTGTACATCTTTGGAATATCAGTTTGGTATAGAGAACTTTTTTTGTAATATCTGTTTTACAATCATTATTTTATATATAAATATGCAGCATTGAAATCACTTGCACTGTTTTACAAACATTCTTGTCCTGTTAATTTACATGCTCCTATTCAAATTGCAGCAACACTATTTGAACAGGTTTACTTCACATGTACATTTCTGTTTTCTGTTGCAATTAATATTTCACAATTGTGCTTTGACTAAGCAAGAAAATGATATTCAATGCACATCTATTATATAATGCTCATTAGGTGCAAACCAAAAACATTATCAAGAATAAATAAATAATTTGGATATAGTTGTTACCTAACTAGATATTGAACTGATATAATAAATAATGAGCACAAATTTTCAATGAGATTACAAATAGGGGGAAAAAAACATCAGGATCAAAGGTTGTCTGATTTCAATATTTTACAATATACCTAAAATAGCTAACAAAATCTAATTTGTTGCAAAACCCTTTTTATCTTTCTTATTTCACTGTTATATATAGTGCCCCTTCATTCTATCACCCTCAAGACAGTAAAGAAACATGGCTTTAACTTCACAGAATCACCTTATTAACTGCTAGACAATACAGTGATTCAAGTCATGATTACTTTAAGTGCAATTTCAATATTTTACAATATACCTAAAATGGCTAACAAAATCTGATTTGTTGCAAAACCCTCTTTATCTTTATTATTTCACTGTTATATATAGTACCCCTTCATTCTATTACCCTCAAGACAGTAAAGAAACATGGCTTTAACTTCACATAATCACCTTATTAACTGCTAGACAATACAGTGATTCAAGTCATGATTACTTTAAGTGCAGCCCTTTCTTAGTCTTTCAAACAGGTCACACTCAAGCTAAAAATAAATACTTTTTCCCTAGATAACTATAATTATAGCAGCACTTCTTTTTCTGCTGCTCCTATCAAGCATCACAATAACAACAAATAATAATTAAATTCTATGTTTCCTATGTGGCCCACAATGATGATTTCCAAAAAGAACCTTCTGCTATTTTTAATTCACATAACATCTATTCTTTTATAGCTAAAATAGATCAATAACTGATTACTCTATTATCTACTTGCACATGTAACCTTAGTGTATTTCACCACAAACAGCTTATTAACCACTGGACAGAACTATGTTTCAGTGACTATACTCTTATTACTTATAATATCACTTCATATTATACTTGCATAATTATTACCATTGCAGATTTCCTTGAGAGAGATTACTCAATACATCTTCTTATTCGATGGACAATATGTTGTATCAGGACATCCTAATAACCACTAAGTTATAAAGGTCATTCAGCTTTAACTTGTCAATAGGCTATTTGCTATTTAAGATTCTTATAGTTCTAGAGAGCATTTACTCTCCTTCCATTCTCTGCTGATTTGCTCTGCTGTTCTCGTGTGCTACCAATTTCTGCCTGCAACTCCACTTGAAGAAGGTAAGCACTTTAATGATGCTTTGCTGTACTTAACATCTACTTGTGCATTAACTTCATTCCTTCTCCTTTATTTACTTGCATTCAATTAAGTTATATGTGTTGCTTTCCATGTGGCCTTCTGTTAAGCTGGATTACATATGTACACATGTTTTTATTAGCTGTATTTTTGCTTGCTTTGCATTCAGCCAACCCATGTAGCTATTTTACATACAGTCCTTTACATAGAAGATTCTCATCCTTTTAAACTTACTATCATCTTGCCAGTGATTAAGCCACATGTACACAATTATTTTTACTTATGCCCTTATATTTGTTGCCCATGAGTTGAAAGGACCATGTTCAAGTATAATATATGACAGAGAAGCCATGTCTTTTTTAAAGTAGGTTACTTGGACATGAAACTAGAAAGGCACTTTGATAGAGTCTGTGGTTGACCTACTGGTGACTTGGTGATAAGTTAATTACTACTTATTGACTATATTAGTAACAAATACATCTTTAATTTTTTAAAAAACTTACAGTTGGCTAAGGGCTGATGAGAAAGTTACTTTAAGAAATTCCATCAGAAATTATATGAGAACCCGTATATTATGATATAAATCAGCTCAAACTGCCTATATTATGAACACAAAGTAACCATATTAAAGAAATTCAAGCTTTCATTTAAACCACACAAGGCGACTTAGAACATTTCACAACCAAATACTGAGCACAACTTACTAATTAACAACAGCGTACACACAACTAGAAGTAAAATATTGTTTATTACTAAAGCAACAACACAAGTCTCTGACTACTTAAAAACACAACTAGATTTAAGTTACAAATGCCTTGTTGCAGCTTCAAATGCCCTTTAAAAAGAACCACCATAGGAAGCATCACTTCCAGGAGAATATGAAGGGCTGGAGTGGTGATGAATGTCACTCAAGTTAAGCGTAGGCTGAGGCTTGTAATTACTGGTCCCCTCTTTTGGTGTCTGTTTCTTTGGGCTAGGCTGCTTATCTTCAGACTCAAAGAAGAGAGCAGATACCACAACCTCTAAATCTTCCACCTTTTTCTCTAAAGCAGTGAGCCGTGCCTCCATTGCTTCATAGTTAGTCTGTTTAGGAAGCTCATATCCACTACTAGGATTCACCTTATCTTTCCCCTTACTTGCCATTACTTTCACTTGGAATTGAATAAAAAAAGACTAGAGAAATGTGAATGTGGAATAAAGAAATGGTTTGTGAAAATGTTGAAGCCTGACATTCCTTTTATATATGCCTGGGTAACACCTCTTTGTCTAAGGGATATAACCATGCAATAATTATACCTATTTAGAAAGTCATACAAAACCTGCTATGTGCTTAGCATTGCATAGCACTGAACTTAATTTATAGTCACAAGTCACTTCATTAAAGATTCCTTTTTATATTTTATTATATTGAATTGTAAATGCATGTATACCATATAATATTATAGTTGTGCATAGACTTATGCCAAATTTGCTTATAATATTATAAAATTATAATATTCTAATTTTATATTTTTATAATATTATAATATTATACAAGTCACTTACATGCATAGACTTATGTCAAATTTGTTGTTATCTAATTTAAGCACAAATAACAAAACTAATTGTCTTTGTATACTATAGATGAAACCTGAGTACACGCCTTTGAACAAGCTGTCACCTGTAAGCAAGAAATACAAAGTACGTGTGACAGTGAAAGAAAATTCTCCTATCCGAACTCCTCCAAACAAGAAAAAATTTCAGAAATTGGTTTTTGAAGATGAAGAGGTGCAAACTTACCACTCTGCATCATTTCATAGTTATTAAGTGCTTACAATCCTATACATGACTTCTCCATTTCCATGATACAGGGTAACAACATGAAAGCTAATTTGTTCGGAGCTGAATGCGACCACTTTCAAAAAGTCTTTGAACACAAGAAGAAGTATGAGATAGCTAATGCTCCAGTGCGAACAATCAACACGAAATTTAGTTCATTCCTAGGAGAATGTGAACTAACCTTCGGCGGAATGACTAAAATTCAAGTTATTGATCGAACAGAGGGACCTGTGTTGCCTGAATACATCTCCATAGCTGATGTACCAAGGACAAGTGGATCATCAGACCAGTTTGGTATCATCAAAACCTTATCTAACCTACACATAATAACTAAAAACACATCTGCCTCTTGACAATAATGTGCCTATATGTTACTTAATTGACAGATCTGCTTGGAATAGTAGTCCACATGGAAGACCCCCGACAAGTGGAATACAAATCAGGCAGGGTAGCCGACGTACGTGATATCAGCATAGTTGATGAAAGGTTGCTACTACCCTTTTAAGGCCCCAAAATGCTACCTGCAATATAATCAAAATCTGCATTTACTGACTTACACTTTGTTTTGCAGCACTGGTTCTCGTTCAATGATCATCTCTGCATGGGGACAATTAGCCCTTTCTGACTGTGAGAACCTCAAAGACTGGGCAACCACTTTCTTAGTTGTTAGCTTAACTTCACTGAAGCCTGCTACCCACAGAGGTATAATTTTCTCACCCTTTATCACTGTATAAATCATATGACGATCAAGTATGCTTATGCAACTTTTCACAGGTTTTTCGCTGCAATCAAGCATGTCCACAACGATTGATCCAGCCCCCAGTGGTGAAAAAGCTGACGCTTTAAGAGCTTGGTAATCCAAAAACTTTATAGCTAAAAACCATTTACACCGATACACATTCGCACTTTATTGTATCTAAATCAAGCTTAATTTAAACTCCTGTGATTAATCAGCTATGTCTTTCTTTGTATATTTTTCTAGGGCCCATGCACATCCAGACATAATTAGTGATTACATGGCAAGACAACTCGAATTCATGACTATTGGTGCTGAGCCGGTTCCAACCACACTTGACAACATCATTGGCAAAAATGTGAGTGCACTCACACACAAATCCTTCTACTAACTACCTGTTTTTGTATACTAACACAGCTCCATTTAGGTTGACAATACTGTCCAGGAAGAAATACACACGCTGACAGTCACAATTCCAGATGCACAACTAGACAATGTTATTGCTTACATTGGCTGCGATAATTGTGGAAAGCGTTGTGGCGTTGCTGCAAATGTGGACTTTTTTTGCCCACATTGCCCTGACAAAAAATGCACCTCCACTGAAAGGTTCGTTTTGCATTCTTATGCTGCGCAACCAACTAGCCAAGTCCTCATGTCACTTACCATGATTTCACACCACAAATGCAGGGTTAACTTTACCTTTGATGTTGTAGATGACACTGGAACATTTCGCCTCACTGCCTTTGGCCAAGTATGCGAGCAGATATTCAAGCTCACAACACTTGAGATTTTTGAGAGAAAGATAAAGGTTCCCACTCACACTTAACATAAAGTCTACATAAAATTATACCATGCAGCTAGCTATCTTGGGTATAACACCACTGATTTTTATTCTCACGATGACTGGAACGATTATGATCATGTTGCTGCAGCTCTAAAATCCACACCAATGCACATAATCCTCCATCCATCTCAGGCACTAAACAGGGCAGGAGTGCTGCGGTGGGTAGTCCAATCAGTTTCTCATTCTTGAACACTTGTCCTGCCAATCTGCAGTTTCAAATCAGAACACATCATCCACGATAACTCCAGCTTATCATTTTGCATGTGTTCTTATTTGAGGCATTCTTGATTACCCTTAATCATATTCACTACTCAACAATTTAACAACCATTGTCTCTTTAACTCTGAAGTTATATCTTCTTTTGATGATGTTAGTCATATAGAGCAACTTAAATCTGCTTAGAATTAGGCTTACAAACAATGCCTCTTTTGCTTGCTCAATCCATTGAATGGATTAAACAATTGCCTGTGGTTCAAACTTAATACCTCTTTCATGAAGCACTTTGTTCTTTAAATTATTGCAGGGATGCAATAGCTGCCTATGGTTCAAACTTGCTTATTGTGTGAATTTTGCTCATTTCTTTATCGCAAATATGCTAATTATGATTGTCATTTAAAGTGCTTTTATTTACGCATGGGTTAGTCATCTATACTCAATGAGTCAGCCATTTAGATCATTAAATCACTAAGTGCATCAATATCCAACTCATCTGTGCAGATTAAGAGCAAAGTAACAGCTACTGCTCTCAAAATCTCTATATCTCATACCCTGTAAACCATGCTAACTAAACAATCCCCTAGATAATTGCATACTTAGCTTGTACATTTGTAAAATCTTACACATCACACTCTGCATCTCATGTGTTCAACACTCCTGTTACTTCTTTTTCCTAATTCTTAATGTCACATTCTATACATTCTTTAACTTTAGTTACTCAGATCACTTTGTCAAGCTCATCATCTATCTATTTTACTTGTTGTTGACCCTTATGAGGTTTTGATGATGATGTTAAGAATTGAGCAAACTTCCTTTTAATAAGGATTTTCTAGTGTTGTGATGTTGGCTGGTTCAGTAAGCGTAGAGGGCTGAAGTAGGAACTGGAACAAAGGAACTTTAGAAGATCCATGAGGACAAGTAAAGAACAGAAGAAGAGTTCCAACAATGGAACTTCCCGAAGTTTCTCAACAGGAACTTCAAACGGGTTGTAACGACCTGGTTCTGGTGTAATGCTGGGGCAAGCCTCAACAATCAAGGATCAACACAAAGATCAAGATATCAACCGAAGAAGATGGACTTCATAACTTATAGTTGTGTAAAAGATAAGTTTGTTTTCGTAGGATGATGTAAACATATAAATGATAGATATGCATGGAACTTATTAGAAATCAGATAAAGCTTGGCAAACTAATTAATTCGTAAAAGATAATTATAAGTTTTATGAAAAAGTACTTAATTGATTTTATCTTATAAAATCTGGTTTAACTTGGTTTTATCTTTTTCATAAAATTCTATCTTTTAATAAAAACGAGTTTGATAAAATTTGGTTTTCATAAAAACGAAATTAAATCCGTTTGGTTTCGGTTTTAAGGAAGATAAGATCAGATTTCTGTTTGATCTATCTTGTTTGCGAAAACCCTAGTTTGAGAAGCTGAGAAACTCCTATAAATATAGAAGTATTCCAGCTTAGTAAAATGAGAGTTTAAAAGCGTGAAAACCACTTAGTGCTTAAAGTAAGTTTGCCAAAGGTTTAAGCTTTATCATTTTGATTTCGGGTTTCATGTGTAGCTTTCCATTTATGTGTTAGAGTGTGTCTTTGAGTTGTAATTGGTTTTGGGGTGAGATTGTGGATTCTCTTAAATTCACACAAGTGTATGAGTTTGAATTCTCTAAAATTCGAGTGGTAGCTGTGAGTGCACAGTGAGTAAAAGGAACCTGAAAAGTGTCTTGGGTCACCTAGGAAGTGTCCTGGGTAAAGGGAGAAAAAGGGTCTTGAGAAGTGTCTTAGGTCTGGTAGGAAGTGTCCTATCATAGAGTCAAGTGTCCGTGGTGGAACTTGCAAAGCAAAGGTATGTGTAATAGGTTGTACTAGGAGAGTTGCCTATTATAGTGGAATTTGTTTATAAGTCCCAATAGGGCCGAGGTTTTACTTCCAATTAGGCACTGGATGGTTTCCTCGTAAAACTTGTTGTGTGCTTTAAGTTTTCTTTACATTTTAATTGCTTATTTCCGCTTAAGTTCCACGATTGGAACCTACTACTATTCACCCCCCCTCTCGTAGTAGTTCATCTAAACTAACAATTGGTATTAGAGCAGGTTCTCACGAAATTACAAGCAACCTTGTAGAGTAAAGTTCCTGAAGAGATGAATGCACACGAGAAACTTGAAGAAGGGTATTCTACCCAAAGACCACCAATGTTCAATGGCAAGTTTTATTCATACTGGAAGAATAGAATGGAGATATTCATCAAAGCTGAAAATTACCAAGTATGGAGAGTCATTGAAAGCGGTGACTTCGAGGTAACAAAAACCAATGCAAACAAAGAGGTAATCCCTAAACCACTAGCTGAATTTGATAAAGAAGATTATGAAAAATATGAGTTAAATGCTCAAGCTATGAAAATCTTGCATTGTGGACTAGGACCTCATGAGCACAATAGGATCATGAGTTGTAAGTCTGCAAAGCAGATTTGGGATTTGCTTCAAGTAACACATGAAGGAACTAATGAAGTTAAACGTTCCAAAATTGACTTACTGATGTCAAAATATGAAAGATTTGAAATGCTACACAAAGAATCCATTCAGGATATGTTCACTAGATTTACTAACATTGTCAATGAGTTAGAATCTTTAGGCAGGTCCATACCCATTGATGAACAGGTAAGGAAAGTCCTTAGAAGTCTTCCTCAAGATGAAAGGTGGAGATCCAAGGTCACTGCCCTGCAGGAATCCAAGGATTTCACCAAGTTCAACCTTAAACAACTCAATGGATCCCTGCTCACTCATGAACTTCATCTTGGAGCAAACACTGAAAGTTCCAAGAACAAAAGCCTTGCTCTAAAGGCTTACGAATCAAGTGAGTCTGAAGATGATGACATGGAGACAGCCATGCTAGTACGAAGGTTCAGGAGGATGCTGGGAAAGAGAGGAGAAAAGAACAGGAGAGTACAGCCAAGTTCCAGGGAGATTAAATGCTTCGGTTGTGGTTCCAAGGACCATCTCATCAGAGACTGTCCTCAACCTAAGGAGGATGAGAAAACGAAGTACAAGGGAAAAGAGCCAAACAAATATTACAAATCATCGTTCTCAAAGGAGGATGTCAGAAAAGCCATGATGGCTGCATGGGGAAATTCTGATTCTGAAGAAGAAGCAGAAAGAGAATCCTTAGAAGAAACAGCCAACTTATGTTTGATGGCCAAAACTGATGATGAATCTCATCTGAAGGAACTTGAATCTGAGGTATGGTATGACTATCGACAACTCAAACATTTAAATAAAGGAAATCTTATGGACATTATTCTGGAACTTCAAGATGATTGTAAAGAACTAAACAGGTCAAAGTTCCAAATTGATAAAGCTTTAAAAATTCACAAAGAACATAGTGAATGGGTAGATAATATGAAAACGGACATACAAACTAGATTCTTTGACTTATATGATAAAAATGTCTTTCTAAAAGAACAAGTTGAAAAACTGAAACATGATAATATTCTGTTTAATGTAGAGTTAGCTCAACTGAAACTTGGAATTGACTCCCCTGACTCTGAAGTTCCTATTGCAAGCCAACTTCCAAATTTTGAGAAATTAAAATCTGATTTGGAAGAAGTTAAAATAAAAAATCAAACCTTGGAGGAGGAACTTGCTAGAGCCAGGAAAGGCAAAGAAGTGATTAATAATGGAATTCCATCCTAGATAGCTAATACTCATAACAAGAATAAAGAAGGACTAGGTTATAAGAAGAAGTCTAGGAGAAACAAGAAATATGTGGATCTACCTAGTCAAAAGCTATGTTACTATTGTGGTAGTACAGGACATCTTAAAGCTGCATGTCCTAAAAGAAATAAAGATACTCTTAAGAATACTGAGCATGCTGAACAGGTATGGTTGAAGAAATCTGAATCTTCTTCCAAAACAATGGAACCCAAGGAAACCTGGGTTCCAGAAACTAACGCTTAGTTTTCATGCAGGTTCCAGTGAGGGGGAACAACACTTGGTACCTCGACAGTGGTTGTTCTAAGCACATGACTGGAGACAAATCTAAATTTCTCTCACTGGATGCCTACTATGGTGGAACTGTGACCTTTGGTGATAATAAGAAAGGTGAAATCATTGCTATAGGTAAAGTAGGAAGGTCAAGTTCCCATGCTATTGAAAATGTCTTTTTAGTCGAGGGTCTTAAACACAACTTGTTAAGTATTTCTCAATTTTGTGATAAAGGTAACTCAGTCGGCTTTACTTCTAATCTTTGTAGAATCATTAACAATGACACTAACAATATTATTCTTGAAGGAACCAGAAAAGGGAACACATATATTGTGGATCTCAATGAAGTTCCAAGTAGTATTTTGACTTGTCTTAGTGTCATTGAGAATGATCTCTTATTATGGCACAAACGATTTGGCCATGCTAGTTTTTCTCTGCTTGATAAACTTAGATCAAAAGAACTTGTGGAAGGACTTCCATCCATCAAGTTCCTAAAAGATAAAGTCTGCAGTGCATGTGTAAGAGGTAAGCAGACACGAATATCTTTCAAATCTAAGAATATGGTAAGCACCACAAAACCATTGGAACTTATCCATATGGATTTGTGTGGTCCTATGAGGATACAAAGCAGGAGTGGAAAAAGGTATGTGATGGTTATTGTAGATGATTTTTCCAGATATACATGGGTTTTCTTTCTTGTAAGCAAGGACGATACGTTTGATCACTTTGTTGCCTTTGTGAAGAAAGAACAGAGAAGAACAGGTCATCAATTGATTCACCTA